CACACTTCCATGAAGTCCAACGACCACTGGCAATTCCGGATCAAGAGCACGCCGGCGTTGATTGCTAGTCCAGCTCTTCTTGTCGTAGATCAAGTGGGACCAACCGTGGACGACGAGGTTGTGGTTTCTGTATCGGTCTAACGGGAGTTGTAAAGTCCATGTCGGTGAAGGCAGCGTCCGAGTCGACCCACCAGATCCACTCAGCTTCCGGGTGAGCCACCATGGCGGCTCGGACCACTGGTATTTTCGCCCAATATGAGAACATTTCGGTTGTAACAACACGTTGTTGTAGAAAATGTCGTAGCCGTGAGATCGACAGTAGTCAACCTTGTTCTTGAAAAAACCTCAGCAGTAAATTATCGCCAATTGGGTTTCTACACGGCGAAGGTTGGGAACCTGACACCATTAGGACTCGTTCGTCTGCTCCGGCGGCGAATGATTGATGGTGTTTCAGCCACTCTTTTCTCTTCTCGTCCCAGTTTCTAATGGGCTCTCCTATAGTGTAGCTTAGTTTGGGGTCGTCGTAGAACGTCCGCTCAGGTGGGTCGTAGAACGTCCGCTCAGGTGGGTCGTAGTGCAGGTTGGAACCATGCGCATCGACGGCGTACTTTGGTGGTGAGACGTTCACGTTTTCTGAGGCAACTCTGGGTTTAGACTCGGTGACTCCAGTTGAGAAACTGTGGTTAGGGTCAGGGCTTGGGCTTATGAAGGACCCAAGAGCCCAAACAAATAGGAGAGCCACCATAGCTCCACCAACGAAGAGGAAGCCGTCGGAGAGAAGCGACGAAGATTTGTCTCGTCCATTTTGCTTAGTCATGGAGGTTGTTTGAAACTGAGAAAGCTCCGGCAACTTCATTTCAAAGAAGACAGTCTTTCGGGGTGAGTGAGTCGTGTTTAGTTCTAGTAGCGAAGCTATATTATACATCGCCATCTTTTATGTACAGTTGAGGTTTTGCATCTCTATCACACGATTAAATTAGAGGAGACGATTTGGCAGGAACAGAGAAAGAAAGATGGGAGCGTCGGTGGTGAAAGTGTGTGTAGCACTTGAACTGGTGATGATGAGCAACTTTTATGGTGCGGTTGTAAGAGCATCTCCATCAAGTTTTGTATTTTAGTCGGGGTTAATTGCACTAAGGTCTCCGATGTATGAGATTTTTTTTTTATTTTGGTCTTAAATATTTTAATTATATTATTTTAATCTTCAAAATATTAAATATATTTTTATGTAATTTTTCAAACAAACAATATTCAGATTACTAATAATTTTTTATTGTAAATTTATCATGTAATACCTAAATATGAGTAAAAAAATAATTTAGATAACTCTAAAACACATTTTTACACAAATTATGATCAAATAGTTATCCAATTACACAATTTTGATATTAAATTATTCAAATTTTGATCAAGAGCTACTCATATTATATATTTTAATCAAGAGCTATCTAAACGATTTTTTACCTATATTTACATATTACATGATAAGTTTATGATAAAAAATTATTAGTAATTTAAATATTATTTGCTTGAAAGATTATATAAAAATATATTCAATACTTTAGAGATTAAAATGACGTAATTGAAATATTAAGGAGTAAAATCAGACAAACTCTATTCTTTGAGGACATCTGGTGCAATTAACTTTTTTTTGGTTATCTAAAAGTTTATTTATTTATTTTTTTGTTATTCATTTTTTTAATAATTTCTTTATATTTTTAATTGCTTTCTCGAAATATTATTTTTTAACTATTATATTTCAACTATCATTTTCAACACCTAAATTTCTCCAACAACTACATTTTTTAACTTCATTTATTTAATGGCGATAAAAAATATTGTAAAATATCAAATTATCCAAAATATTGTTAAGATATTATAAAATATTTAAACACATTTAATTAAAGAGCATCTTTTTTTATTTCTCCTTTTTTATTAAAAATATGAAAATTTTAAAGAAGAGTAGAGAGAAAATATTGAATATTAATATTATACAATAATGAATATGTAAATAGCAAAGTATTATAAAATATTCGTTTAAAGAGAAGCAGAGAGAAAATATAATAAATTATTTATGCATGATGCTACACTGACATTATAAATTATTTTATATTTAGAGTGTCAGTATAACAAAATTGTCTTTTAGTTACTCTAAACATTTTCTATTGGAACCTCACTTGTATCATTAGATAGATAAATTTTAATCATTTTAAAGTTTTACGTGATCGATTGGAAATGCTCTAAGGAACAACAATTGAGTAGAAGTGTAGTCAATATATATAGAAATAAACTATAAATTAAAAAAAAAATTGACAATTCTCTTAGGTTCAAATATAAAGAAATTTATCCTTCATAATTTTTACATGAATAGTTTGTTTTTTTATTAAATTAAAAAAATTTAATTGAGTTCCACACAAATAATCTAGAATCTAAATTCTAGACACATCCCCACTTCAATACCAAAAAACATAGTAAGAGTTGATGGATAAGTTGATATATTGACCTATGGGTGTGCACCGACACCTTGTTGGGCTTGATTTCACTGATGTGTTAGAACATTGCACCATGTTGGGCTTGATTTCACTGATGTTATTAGAACATACTTCTAGAACTTTAGCATTGCCTTTAAAGTTTGGTTCGAGGCTAATGAAATTGTAATTTAAATTTAATTTGTGGACTTTTTATGGTAAGTAAATATTTATTTGTTCATACTTACAAAAAGTGTACATGACTATAAGTATGATGTTTTTTTTTATCATAGTTATTGAATTAGTAAAAAGCCTCAATCAAACCCTTAGAGATGATTTAGTAATTGACATCAAACTTTGATAACTCAGAAATATCAAGTTCAATCCATTTTTATATTTTTTAAGGATTAATCACCTTTGTCTCTTTAATTAAAGGCATGTTTTAACACAACTCAAATAATGATGGCCAACTGCTAAATTCGAAATAATAGTCGACATAAAGCTGTAAACCCTGTAGTTAAAAAAAAAAAAAAGCCTCAATCAATATTAAAATTCAAGATGAATCAGAAAAATAAAAAAAAAAGTTATGAAGGAGATGAATTTCAAAAGCATAGATAAATTGATGGGTATGGGTATAGATAATGTCTGGTGAAATGATGTGATCATGTGAAATGTGAATTGTTTCACATTTTCTATTTGCTAAGTTTGAGAATTTTTTTTTGTCTTTCATGTTAAATGGAACCGGACAAGGATCACACATGTGTTTTTAATAATCAAAATAATATCTATAAAATTGGGCTACTTTTATAAGGGATGTAACCAAAGTTTGTTCCCATTCAAATTTAGGAGTGCCAAGTTTATAACTATTCAAATCTAATATGATGCGAATTAAAAAAAAGTATGACTTAGCAATAAATAAATCAGATTAGTAATGAATAAACTTATTTCATATGACAAACTAATCTTCTTGGTATTGTATATATGTGATTTTTAAAACAATATTTTTCTTTCCTTTATCGATAATTCACATGATGTTTTTCGACAATCAATGAGATAGCAACACTTGTGTAGATTAAGCCTGATTTTTAACAACATCGAAAGAGGTTAGGAAGGATGTGGAATGTATCCACAACACACCCCCCCCCCCCCGCGCGCGGATACTTAAGTTATTCATCGGTGTGAGAGAGAAAGAGATGATATGAATAGGGATGACAATTGATCGAAAAAAAAAATTGGTATTCGTTCAAACTATATGTACTAGACGATAGACATATACAGATATACCCGTATAAATCCTTTTAGAGATGGACTGAAACTCATCCTCTCTCTACCTCTGTTCCGTTAAACTCATAATCTATATAATAAAGTAATTTACAATTTAAATTTCAAAGTATAAACAAAATGACTTTTACTATTCGCAGTTGAGTTCGCTTTAAATTTTACTTTAAAGTTAATTTAACAACTAATTTTAATACCCTAAATTTAATAGGAAAAATAAACCCTTAAGGGTATTTAGAGTGACTTTTTAAAAGTACTTTTAGAAATTATTTTTTATAAATCCTTTAAAAAAAATAGTGTTTGAAACTGTTTCACCAATACTTTTACCATCACCACCCCAACCATCACCGTTATTGCCACCGCCACTACCACCATCACCACTATCATTGTCGTCGCTACCACCACCACCATCGCGGTCGCTCTTGCCGCCACCACTACCGCCACCACTGCCACCACAATCATTGTCACACACCATAACCATCACCGTCTCCTACAATCATCACTGTCACCCACCATCTCTTACCTCCATTACAAACCGATGTTTAAATTCTTTTATCTCTTATCTATGTTTGTGATTTGATTTTGAATATGAATACAAATATGTTTATTATTTACTATTTTTTATTTCTATGTGCCTTCAGCTATAGACAATAAGTAGTATATCTATGTAATAAAATACATAGGAGTTTAAAATTTTATCTCCTATTTTTCCTTTAAAAACATCACATCATTCAATTGTATCACATGTTCAATTATTTAACATTTAATTAATTTATAATTTAACATAATTTTTATGAATACATTTTCCCCCTCAAAAACATCACATAATTCAATTTTATCATATGTTCAATCATTTAATATTTAATTAATTTATAATTTAACATAATTTTTATTTCATACATTATCCATACATGATTGTGTACACGTGTTGAAAGCATATTGTCAGGTTATACATTTTGCGAAAATTGGGACGCTATTTTTAATAAAATAATAGGTAAAAATTAATTTAAAATGATTTAATGAAATTAATAAAAAATTGTTATTTGGTATACTAGGATTAATTTTTTGAATGCTCAAATTTTATGTTTCATCGTATCTTCATGCACGGGTTATAACTAGTATGTATGTGTGTGTGTATATATATGTATATATAATTCACACATTTGTTATGCATAATATTTTTGCGAGTTTTTATATTTGATCTGTTTGTTATGCAATGAGTTTTCATCTTTCTTGCAAATTCAATTGTGAAGCTTTATTATTTTTTTCTTAAAATCACAAAAACTATTTGTTACGAGCAAGAACGGGAATCAAAAGATACCTGCGGGGTAGAGACGGAAATTCAAATTTTTTCCACTAACAAGAATGGATTGGGAATAGATAAATATTTTTAAAGCCGAGTATGGGGATGGAGATTACTCTCTCACCTCTGTCTCGGTCTATTGTCATTCCTAAATACAAATACTAATGTGAAAAACTGATTTTCACTTCTCTACCTGATGCCCATCCATTGGTTTATTTAAAACTTAAGTGATATTTGACTTGGATACCTTGATATCTTGGCTGACAGGTCTGATAATCTTTTTTATAGTAAATCCTCTCATTAATCCATATGTGTGGTGTGACAGTCATGTCTATAATTGCCTTATTAGTGATTGTACCTAGATTTCGAATTGAGCATTTATTAGAAGGAAAGCATACATATGGTCAAGATTTGCATTGATGACACTATTCAGAGTTAAGAATTAAATGAGAGCACCTATCACTTGATTGATCTAGGTGTGCAAGGATCATGTCTCATTGTTAATGTTAATGGGATTTTGCATTGCCCATCACATGAAAGTGACGACATAGTCAACATTCTTTGTTTACTATCTTATTAGTTAATCTGAATGATAGATCGATCGATAAAGAATTGTTGAAAATCTCGAGCTCGAGGTGTGCACTCCTCCTAACATTCCATGGGCCAACAACTTCTAGTACATCATAAGGTCGATACGACTTGGTCAATATGTGCTCAAGGGATGATGCATAAGAAGTGAAAACAACTTCAATACACGGGTCATCTGTAAATAAGTATGTCAGATTATGTCCTGCCAAATATCATATAAATTGTTATAAAATTTAATGATCTTTTATTTAATTTTGCTAGAATATACATCTAATAGATTTTGAGATTAATGGTAAACCTTTGTAGGATGAATTTGTCGAGGAAGAATGCCTTTGACTTGCAGTTTCTAATTTAATGTTACACAAGGATTTTACTATAACAAAAGTTCAGAATTGCATAATCTAAATATAACAATTTTCCTAGCACCCCCTCCCCTACACTGTCTTTTTCTGACCAAAAGTCTCCCAACAACGACGGCTCAGAAAATCGACTGGCCCGGCCATGTGATCATCTGACGCTGGTGGCCAACCATGTTGCACAGGGTCACAATGTAATCATTGCTGGAGTTTGGTGTTTTTTATATTTTAGTTTTATATTTTCCAGCCTTTTATTTTATCATAAGCTCTCATAGCTCAGTTGGTTAGAGCACCCGTTTAGTAAGCGGGAGGTCTTGAGTTCAACTCTCAATGAGAGCAATCTACTAGTTTTTTTTTCATGCTGCTTCTTACATTATTACAGAGAGAGCAAGTAAAGTAAAAACTAAAAAGCCTCTGGACAATAGAACCAAAGGCACCTGGAGATGAAGATCTATCTCACCACTCACCAGGTTCATTTTTTTTTTTTTTTCACTTTCAAAAGTTATTTAATGAATCAATTGTTTTGAACCTGGAGCTTATGAACAAGCACCTGTTTTGAAGTTTAAAACTTATATCACGTCATCATCCAATAACTTGTGATTGTTTCTTGGAAGACAGATGCTCCTCGGAAAACCTACTGCTTCTTTTATTTCACAAATGATTGATTACATATAACAAGAAGGTCGATAAACCCAACAATTGCTTAATGAAGAAGTTCACATTACCACAAGGTGGGTATAACCTCTTCAACCTACAAATATGTATACATATGAATCACCTATTGGTACAATAACAAGCAGACATTTCCAACTAGCTAAATTTCTCTAAATCCAACAGTTTGGAGAAATCTAAATTGAACTTCTTGTTTGATCCCAGCTGAAAATAATGCCTATATACCCAACAATTAATTGATGATGTTGTTCACATTAGAAGAAGGTGAATAGAACCTCTTCACACAGCATACATATACACCTCTGAATCACCTATTGGTACACTAACAAGCAGAGATTTCCAACTCTTAGTTCAATCCTTCTCCAATGAACTATTAGCACCCTTCCAGGTCTCGCCATTTGAGGTAAACTAGCCCTGCCCGGTAATGAGAGTAGGCCCCTGCCACTACCAATATATGAAAAAGTTGGTGGCTATGTCCAGCAATGTCGAATTTACCTGGCATCCATCGCTCTGGAACCCTCGTTGCATAAACAAGCGCTCCAAGACCGTAGAAAGCCCCCATCAAAATTTCATATCCAGTTGTATGGTGTGCCTCAGGCTGATGCCAGAACAAGATAAGCTTGTGGAAAATGGGTGCTATCCCCAGTAGACCCATCCCGGAGAAGAGGCATGCACGAAGGCCACGATATTTGGGGCTTTCGAACACAGGAAGGAGAGAAACCAGGATTGTGCCAATTCCCAGGAGTGTTATGAATCCCATGTAAAGATTGCAGAAGAAGGGGTAGCACATGAAGGAATAGTAGACAGGAGGATAAAAGGAAGTCGATATGAGGGCAACAATGCCAGCATAGTCAAGCCTAAGCATGATGTATGATAGACGCTGTGAGTGACATAAGAGCAAATGGCATATGCTGCTGGCTAGCAAGCAAAACATGGCTCCACCCAAGAAAGCAAAGAATGGCCATCGTGTGATTGGCCTCTTCATCAAGGGAGCAATTATGTTTGCCAATTCCTCTTTCATGCTAAGCTGCATATGATCAAATCATGCGAAAAATATTAGCCACATTATAAATTTCAGGGAGGAAGGCAGAAGAAAAGGCAATAGTGTATGGCTGCACAGATAGGATGAAATGAGAAGCTACATCAATTAGAAAAATGCTATACTTACCAAAAAATTTTACCAAATCTTCCATACTAAATGATGGGGCACAATCTCCGTCATTGAATATTAATGGAACCCACTTATTTGATGGTGAAAAACTGTGACACGTCATTTAGGATGGAAATTTGGTAAGCATAGCATTACCCCATCAATTAACCATCCAATTGAGTATTGAGGTGCTTGATAACACAGGACAGGCAGATGGAATTTAAAAGTTCTGAAGACATTTAAATGATGCATTTTCTCATAAATAGTGAGCTTATAAACTATAAAGATGATCATCAACCCAAAAAGGACCTTACCAAAAGACAAACATCTGTATGGTTGGAATGGGAGAATCGCTCAGGCAAACAGTTTGTGAGCAATTCTACAATATACCAGTTCGATGGTGATGGTAGCAAATCCATGGAAGGCAATATTGACGTCTTTAACTCCTCCCGAAATGTTTGCAAATCAGGCATGTTTGGCAAGGAAGGAAGACAAGTCAAAAGTTCTGCATGCAGTTTGTGCATATCAGCTTTTCTCAACACATCAGGGAAATGGTGTATGGTAGGGAGATCCACAAACTTGGGAATCTTCATTGCAGTGTAAATGGTCAGGGTAAGGAAGAGGAAGAACCCTATTAAATGCCTGTGTCACACAACAGCTTATGCTTAGAGTAGATGTAGCATAATAGCACAGAACAGTTTAACTCAACTCTACTCTACTCAACTAACAAAGCCTTATCCCAACTATTTTGGCTTAGTTAAATATTAATAATAACAGCAATATCATTAATAATAAAAATTATATTGGACAATGGCATACATGTGAGTGGACAGAATTAATATTCATGTCAACAGCCTTCATTACAGACATCCAGTGGAGTTAAAGGAACTAATAGCAGCAGAAAAATCACGATATAGGAAATGAACTGCAACCTTGTGATGGGTAGTATTGTTCATAGTGTTTGGTTTCACCAGGCAATCGTTATGGACACTTAAAAATTTTGTTCAACAAATAGATAATTTCTAGCATCCAATCCTACCCTTACTCTCTACCCCAGCCCAAAATATATATATATATACACCGCAAGTTTAATAATTTAGACCAGACCCCCATTACACGACATGGTTGATTAATTAAAAACTGAATTATTCAAGAGAGCACAAAGAAACCTGAGATTATGTATTGAATTATCAGCTATCCGATCCATATTGTAAAAGAAAAAAAGTGTTTGTGATTGAAAATGAATATGTTGTCTTATAATCGGCTGATTTATATGCCTCTTCAGGTAAAACAACTTCGACTACATCCTCAATTAGTTTTAAGTAATGATACCATGTGGACCTTAAACCTCAAGAAACTAGGGTGGTGGAAAAATGCAGCTCTATGTACTAGACATTAATTCCTCGAAGTGTATTAGAGACTCGGCTGACCATTCTGATTTTCGTATGATCTCAAGCACTTGATGACTTGTCACATGGCTTGGTAACTAATTAGGTCAGACAAGGTTGTCTAGCACTTGTCTAATTTAATAGATTGAAATCTTAAACAAATAGATTCACCTTAAAACAGAGAAGGCTCACAAAAAGTTACTAATCTGAATAAAAAAACTAAGGAAATCCATGAATGTTATGGAAATTAAATGAAAGTCGGTGAAGCATTCAGAACAGAATTCTTACGTCCATACATTGAGGGTCTCATTGTGAATGGTGAAAACGCTGAGTAAAGTCTGTTTCAAAGGCCATTCGGACCGATAATGACCAAGAATGAACTCATTGTCCCTTAAAAACCCAGGCAAAGAGTGGTACTCCACTAGCTGGTACTTCACTTTATTCCACAATCTCTTCCCCTTCCCTTCCTTTGAAGAACACCCTTCTTGACGATTCTCATTTAACCCAGAACCCTCCTTTGTATCCTCATGATCTTTTTCATCCTTACCCATTCTCTGTTCAACCAATTAACAACTACTTGTTAACAAACACTCGCAATATATAACTTGGCAACTCAACAACAACAACAACAACAACCAAATTTAACTATGAATTGAACAGTCGAAAAATATATAAAAAAATATGCATGTAGTACCTAAAATGGAAGAAGAGCCGCCAGAGAAGAAGACCCCAATTGGAATTATTCAGATATATTCCGAGGTATCTATGTCCCAGAGAGAATTTTTTTTTCAGACGAAGACGATGGGAAAAAGATAAAAGCAAAAACAGATAAATAGAAGCCAAAGAACTGGGGAAGAAATATGAAAAAAATCAAAGACGCTAATAAATGGTAACCAAAACAGGTTAGAGCGTTAGTTTCTATGCTAACCGGAGGTTGTGGTTATAGTTGCGCGCGTGAGATGCAGAGAGAGAGAAAAAGAGATTATTCTTGGAGAGATGCGGAGATGCCCAGATCAGATTGGCCACGTGATTTTGTTAAGGAATTGGCAAGTTTCTTGGAGGTGGAGGGAAAGTGCCCTTTAGAAAGCGATGGAAGATATTTTCCGAAATTGTTTTTGGGGCTAATTTCACTTTGTTCGATTTTAATTTGTACTTTCAAACCTTAAAATTATTAATTTATACCCTCAATATTATGAATTAGTAGCGATGTAAATTTGACTGACTCATACTAACATTCAATTTTTTGTTATTAATTGAAGTACGTGAATTATTTGTACTTTTGAGCATGTGAATAAAATATATTTACTATTGTAAATATTTGTCTGTGATCAATTTGACACTATTTTATACATTGAAAATAAAGTTTTATCAATTAGATAAAGGCAAACACTATCATGTGTAAAGATGTCAATAGACCGAGTAAAAATTGATATTCGTTCGAACTTGTCTTGTTTGAACCGAAAATAGACTATACGTATTGAATGATAGACGTATACAAGAGTCTCTTTGTGAATGGTACAAATTGAAGTACGTGAATTATTTGTACTTTCGAGCATGTGAATAAAATATATTCACTGTTGTTAATATTTGTCTGTGATCAATTTGACACTATTTTATACATCGAAAATAAAATTTTATCAGTTAGATAAAGGTAAACACTATCATGTGTAGAGATGTCAATGGACCGAGTAAAAATTGATATTCGTTCGAACTTGTCCTGTTTGAACCGAAAATAGACTATACGTATTGAATGATAGACGTATACAAGAGTCTCTTTGTGAATGATACAAATTGAGATTCTTAATATTTAAGGGTACAAATTAAAATTTTAAATATGTTTTGATGGTGTAAAATGAAATTGGTCCTTATTTTTATACTTCTTTCATTATGAATTATATAGTTGAATAATTCGAATCAATAAAATATGTATGAATACCAATTTATGCCCAATTAATTGGATATAAAATTAAATCAAAATCCCACCATCAGTCTGACCCCAATAATTACAAGCAGTTTTTCTCGTTGAGTTTGCATACCGCGCGAGTCCGTAATACTTTCGTTTAATGCGGGAACGCATTCAAAATTTTCTATCCAAGAAAACCTGTTTTCGAATTGATACAGCCTTCCTAAATTGCGGCTGGGCTACGCAGGTTAGAGCAACTCCAACCCGTCACATAAAAACTATTTTTTAATTATTTAAAAGAGTTAATTGTAAAAATTTATCTTTAACTTACTCTCTATCCCACTAACAATTTTATTTTACTTCCCCCATTTTTACTCCCTGCTTTTAGCGAGCGAGGATTCCTCGCTATTTGCTCTTTGCACCAAATTTTGTGGTCGGTCTTTTTGTGATGTAGCTTCATCGTCTAAAAATTAGAGCTCGTTTTCACTTAAGTATGAATTTCTCTCTTTCTTTGTGCTTGAGTCAACAAAAACTCTAGTACCCAAATAAAATTCTAAGATGATTTTGATACCCTAGATGATGAAATGAAGAAATCAAAAGACTACTGTGGTTTGTTATGCGTAGGGAGGTAAAGAGTTTTGCTGATAAGATTTTTGTGATTTTCTAGATTAGGAAGAGGAGATGTGTTCAGTTTTTATTTTTTCTGGAATTTTTTTGGTTTAGCAATGAATGACAGAATCTAAGGAAATGGTTTGAATTAAAAACAAGTTCTAATTTGCATTGATCCTGAAAATTTTATATATTAGCTATGAATTCATTTTGTACCTATGCTTTGACATTTTATCAAACACTTGATTGACACATATTATTGAAAGTTAAGGTTAGTTGAAGTAGTTAGTTAAAATAGAGAGCGTAGTTAGAATAAACTTGTAAAAGTGGCTAATCAAAGCAGAGAATGTAATATTTAAATATATTTTAACTAACTATTTTAGAGAGCTGGGTTGAAGTTGTTTCTAGTACCTTACTTAGCCTAGAGTATCTCTAAGGGCGCTCTTCAAAATAGTGAGTCAAAATATATTAAAATATTATATTTTTTATTTTAAAGAACCATTGTTACAATATTATTCCAACCATACTCTCTATTTTAACTAACTAATATTAATATTTTAAGTTAAAAATATTGTATAACTTGACACATCATCAAAATATAAAATAACTAATCCCTTGAAGTGAAAAAAGAGTTATTTGACTCTCTAAATATAAAACAATTAGCCAAAGAGGCTCGCAAAATGTAGAGAGTCATTTAGCCCAAATATAAAATAACTTGTCAAATAACTAGTACTTTGGAGTAAAATTTTGTGATTTGCCTCTTTATTTTAACTAACAAATATAAAACAACTAAGCTTGGGTGGCCCTTGGGAAAAATGAGAGGCCTAAGAGTATTACTAGGGTTGTCGCTTTGCACGGATAGGTATTTTATTTGTAACCCAGATTATGATTAGACCATCATATACCACTATTGACTCAACTTGAAACCCAGGCCCAAACACTATTCTTGCAAAGACACTTCCCACGTTGGAAAAATGATTAATTAAAGTGTGCATAAACTATTACAGATACTCTTGACCATTGAACTACAAAAAATAAACATCACAATGCAATTGGTTCCATACATTTATTAAATCCACATTCTTGAAGTAGGGGACCATTGGAAGGTTTGTCCCATATATACATACAGTTTCAGTTCCCGTGACCTCACCAGTCTGAGTGAAGGGGATGGGATAGTGTTCCTCCTTTAAAACCAATGACTAATGGTAAATGTTCAAGGTGTCATCGGCATACAAATAACCAATGACTAACGGTAAATGTTCAGGTTGTCAATCTTAGAATGTTTTTTTGCAGATTCCATGGTGGATCAAGACGAGAATGAATCCGAGATATTTCCATCATATGAGAAATAGAAATACACAAGAGTTCGATTTATTAAAATCAAGTAGCCTATTTGAGACAGCAGTCTTCAATGGAACTTCACCAACATCACTTGCTAGAAAACAAGCAACAAAGAAAATGCAAGCTTCATGGCGTAATCTCTGCCCGGGTATCCCAAGAAAACAACAAACCTAACAGGTGAGAGATAATTCAGTATTCCTCCGTTTTGGGAGGGCCCTTCCACTTGAAGTTGTCTGCATATGCCTTGACCTGCAACCAGAAGAAAATTGAAGTTATCCATGCAGTCAAGTTTATCATTGTTATGTTAAAACTGATAAGTAGTTGCTTATTTGTAGGAGTTTTGTTGGTAGAATAAGTCTCTAGGAGTTCTGTTGGTAGAATAAGTCTCTAGTTGATAGAGTTGTTAGCTATTTTTTCTCAATTCAATTAGGTCTCATGTAAAGGCTATTAAAGCCAAGTTCTATTTAATGAATAATACAAGTCATTCCTCCAGTTTTCATTTGTGTTCTTGATCAAACTATTCTAGTTCACAACAAAACACCCGAGTTAAATACATGTGTATTAGCACTATGAAGGTTGAGAAAACCACGTCTTGATAGGAGATGAAAGGAAACCATACCAATTATGCGTGGACCTTTGGTGAAAAAAATGATGTTAGATAATTCAAAATGGCATCAATATAGAAGGAAAATTTAATCGAGTAAGCTGCTATGTGTTCCACCCACTCATCAGAACAGCTACAACCAGACATCAACAGGGAAATCCCTAATGTATGGCAGCCATGAAAGGCAGAGAAGAATGATAACGTCATAGGTACTGCCAAAATTACTAAGCCAAAAAGTTACTAAGCCAGTCTTGGCCCAGAATAATGGGATGAGACTTTACTGAGAGGGTGGCTACAAAAGCAAAAACACCAATGTAGAATGCAATTAAACAAATTTCTCAGAAGTCATCCAGCACAAGACTGCATAACCGTCTCTAATCATCAAGAAGCCAGAAACATTGCAATGCAACAGAAGCTTCAGACAATTTTCGATTCTTAGGGCCATCTACAACAACTACCAAACTTACTGATATTGCAATTAAGGGTGCCTAAAAAATAACAAAAAATCAGTAACTATCGTCCATGCCAATGACAAAAAATGACACATTAAAGGCAATAGCAGAAGAGTCCCAAACCTTTAAAAGTGGTGTCTGGCGCTTCTTAACCTGCAGAGAAGAATTCATGTTAACGGTTAGTGGGTAGTGAAAACCATAGAAAAAAGGAGTAACAAATTCTTCAATAAAATTTCAAGTGGATCCTTATAGATTATGCTCAAAAAAACTGAGTGTGGGATGCTAGCTAGCAGCCAATTACAATATAATTAAATATAATAAGACGAAGTGAAATCTGTTGAGAACAAAAATGGTTCCAACCGCCCCTAGAAGATGCTTAGGTATATCAGGCAACATGTAAATTGATCATAACTTATAGGTCATACATGGCTTACTCATCCAATCTTTATCAGAACAATTTCACTCCAACTTCCAATGAGAAAACTTCCTTGTTGCCACCTTATGATTTATTAAAAAAAAATGCATACTCAAAGTGGGCCAATTTGAACAAGTGAAAGAATTATGCATTTACATTTTACACATAAACCTATAATTGAACATCTTGACCTATTACAATGCTATATGTGGATTCAGAAGATTTCCAAGCTGAAACAAGACAGAATCAACTAAAATAATGGACAACCATGAGATAGATTAGTAAACTTATTTGATACGATTTTCGCTTATGTTGTAATCTTACAAAATTCATAAATGGCTAAGGTGCTCATTCACATGGTGTAAGACCAACACAAACCAAGATACCAAAAACAATATGGACGCCAAAAGGTGTTATAACAGCAGTTTTTAAAATGAAAATAGTTTACTAAAATACAAGTCATATTAAACTCAACCAAAATTCAAAAAAACGACTGAACTGAGTAAGAATTCTGACATGATATCTCGAGGTAGACAGACTGGAATATGCCTAGACAATAATATCAATGTGAAAGTAGAAATTTATCATAGCAGCAGTTTGAGTTAAAGAATAGTTATACATCACACGTTGATCCCAATCCAAGAAAATTTACATATAAAAATCTTGAAAAAACTCTTCTGAGTAGGAACAATGAAACATAAACAACACATACTGTGTACTCCCAGCCATGTTTTTCAGCAAATTCTTTTGCAGCTTCTTCACTGTCAAAACTCAGTGCAGCATCACCAACATTAGCATATGGATCCCCTGTGGATGTCCATCCCATCAAAGGGTTTTCCCATCTACACAAGTTGGTGACAAAAAATGTTAACATATGTCCATGGTGGCAAACTCAAGGATTCATGAACCAGCCATGGACTCGTAACGTTCTCAACTTGAAAGTCGCCAGGGAACTGTTAAATTCCAAGAAAGAATATGCATAATTGGGAAAAGAGGATGTTCTCAATGAAGACTTACTCTGGATGCTTAATGAAACACACACATAAAGCATGCAGTAAGTGAAATGTTTTGCATCTGGTAAATAATATCAGAACATATATATCGTATGAGTTCAGTTAAGTGTTCAACTACCATGGTACAAGTCGGGAATAATTCAGGGAGCATGGATGATATGTCATTAATGATATATACACCTGATTAATGATATAACATAAGGGACTTGTTCCTATAACTAATGGTGTACCAGACATATTTGCAATTCTCATGCCTTAGTGGCCACAAAGACTTGAATTCAATTGGAAAGAAGCCTGAGTTGTCACAATATATCAACAAGCATACTTCTTATCGTGATTAATCTAGAGCCAATCACACAATATTACACTGAGCTTTCCCTTATAGAAATCCGCATGCATTTGTTGCAGAGCTGAACTCAACACAAATGATGTTTTTATCTCAACAGGAGTGAGAAACATAGAACTAGTCTCAAATACGGTGATGGTTGTCAATTGCAGTTCAAGTTTGACCATACAGATACATCTCTATGCAGTTGAGGTTATATACTTATATACTACAGATAATGTGAATTAAATGGAGTCCAAGTCAATAAGAAGCATGATACAAAGAGAAAAGGGCAAACTTCTTCATACACTGACCACGAAAAATGCAAACCAAACCGGAAAAAAAAAAAAAAACTAAACTAAATATTCCTTTATCCTCAAAGCACCCAGTGAGGAACCAAAACTTCAGAATGCATACAAATGAGGGAGAGAGAGAAACCAACCCAAAGAAACAAAGCTCAAGAGTAATTTTCCCTCAAATTCAATGCACCCAGTGAGGAACAAAACTTCAGAATGCATACGATCTAGAACCCTAAAACACACGCCCACTTGCTCCCATAAAATATATCAGAACTTCAAAGTGAAGTTCTGTTGACAAAAGAAATTGCAGCTTCACGAAACTAAGGACAATTAGTTCCCTAAAAGCACTCTCTTTAATAGACATATTTGAATTTCCATTAGCTAGTTAACTCCAGGTTATGCTGAGGTTACAAGTGTCCAGAAATCCAGCCTTTTGCAACTTCTTTTCCCTTATTTTATTGGTTCAGTCCATTTGCAAACCTAGCCCAGTACTTGGAGTGAAAGTCAACAAGCACTGAAGTGAACCAAGCTAAATTCCTCTATTCATTTCACCTGAGCATCGGCATGTGAAAAGAAGTCTAACTACAAAAGTAGAATAGATCCTACCCTGATTAAACAAAGAACATTAAAACATAAGTGGACATATTGGACGAACATATATACTTCCCTAAGTTTCTTGAAAGAGGAACAAAAAAGCAAAAAACAACTTCCTGAAAACCTAGCCCAGTCCTTGGAGTGAAAGTCAACAAGCTCTGAAGTGAACCAAGCTTAAATTCCTCCATTCATTTCACTTGAGCATAGGAATGTGAAAAGAAGTCTAGCTATGAAAGTAGAATAGATACTACCCTGATTAAACAAAGAACATTAAAACATAAGTGGACATATTGGACTAACATATATACTTCCCTAAGTTTCTTGAAAGAGGAACAGAAAAGCGAAAAAAAAACTTCCTATGAAAGGATAAGAATAGGATAAAAAATGAGACATACTTTTGGGTTGAAATAAAATTGATTTTCCACCTTCCAACTTTTCCTGATCCTTGTTGAGTAGCAGTTCGAGCAGGTGAATAGATTACAACCTACCATAAATGTAAGAAACAGTTGTAAATTACTGTTGAACACGAACCTCAATCACAACTATATTATTAAAGAAGCAAGGAATACGCCCCTAATCAGTGTCCTAGTAGGACTGGGTTAGCCATTTACTAGAGTTCTTTCATTTTAAAGAAGGGAGGCGGTTAGATAAAAATTCACATCAAGTTGTCCAGTCAAAAAGATGGTTAAGAAGCACAAAACCAAGACTACAACTGTACAGTCCAGAAATCCATAAAAGTAATATATCAAGTAAATATTATTGCAATTCATGTTAACATGAAGATAATAACAGAAATAAGAACTATATTTATTTTTTGAGTTCATGTGTGAGGAAAAGAGACATCCTTGACATATAGAAGATATGTGAATACACATTAATACCAAGCCAATCTGACAGCACACCTACTTCCAAAAAAGCATGTACAAAGTTGTCTCCAACTACTGCATTCTAACCACAACCTAAGGATCTTAAACCATGGGTAACCTATCTCTTAACTTCTCTATGTTGGTGAGGACAAATTATTGTCAATTTGAATCCACATTATATACTTCGTGGTCAAATTCTAATTAAAATATAACTATTGGCAATTGCAATTTCTCTGTTTTAACCAAAGCAAGCTCTACTTGCTTCTGCTTTTAAGAAAGAGATGTAGTTTCCCTGTGACCACTGCCAACCGCCACCAAGCTACATTCTCTTCGAATTTCATGACTCTGATCATCCATGCAATATTCCCTCTATCTACATCTCCACATTCCTCTCTATTACTCTCACTCTATAGTTACATCTTCTTTTACAGCCTCCTAAAGAGAGCAATGAATGGTAAAGTGATAGTAGCTCGCTAACAATTTAAAGCAATACGTGCTCACTTTCTGAAAAATCCAACAGCAATTGGATTTTTTTTTTTAACTGGAAACTTATTTGATCTAGCAAGTAGAAAAATGGTTACTGAAATTCGACTTGGCAACTGGAGAATGGCATCAAGTAATTCTTTCCCAATCATAGCCAGCAAGTCAACTCAACCAGCAAAATTTCGCCCAGGTAAACAAAATTGATGTAGCTACGCTCCCATTCCCGTAGAATACGTACTAAAAATAAATAAAAACACAACACTACAGGTTGAATCCATCAGAAATGATGGTGAAGTATTAAACGAAACCCTAGAGGTAAAACTTATCATTCAATAGGTATTTCATGGCTGAATGACGAACGGAACAAGGTAATCTCACGTCTCAATAGGTCGAAAACAGCAATAACGAAAGACGAGTCAAATTAAGCGAAAAAAGAGATGGAAAATCAAAAGGGCTCGCATCATACCCTCCTTCGAAGGTGTTCTTCGGGTATACCAGAGACCCTACCTATCTCTCCGGGGTAGATCTCAACCAACGAGTCTGTAGATAGTAGTCTTGAGAATGGGGCGGCATTGGATCGAAAGGCCTGGCGAGAATGGCTCGCGAACCGTCGCAGAGAGCTCGACATTTTTCCTGAAGCTGAAACAAGAATGAAAATTCTGCAATATATGATGCGCAAAACAAACTTTAAAGAATTTTTGGGAAATTTCAGAACGCACCCCACTCTTTTTTAAAATAAGAAAACTAACCTGATATTTTTGTGACCTTTTATCAAAAAGTTCAATTTTTTTTAATCAATGGGACCCACAAAAAGTTCAATTCAATGAAATATTTTTCCTAGTTTCTATAATAAAATACCAAAAATATCCTTGAAGAAAATTTTCTATATGAAATACTCATACAATTTTTAAAATTTAACGTGTCTAAAATTACAATAATTAATACCCAAAAGAACTATTTTTCTAAAGTTATTTTGATCCAAAAAAAACTAATACTTTTTACGGTACCAAGGGAAGAGTAAACGGTTATCGTCTATTGAAGTGATTCTTTTTTATATATTTTTATTCATCAAATCAAAATTTTTTTAGAGAAAATTATTGTACTCAAAAAAAATTCAGTATCATTATCAAATTTTACAAGTTTTATCGATTGGCACTGGATAAACAAGTTTTAAACTTTTTTACAATAAAAAATTTCCAACCATTTTTTGGTTACTTAAATGACCTCTTAAATTTATAAAGGGTTATTTGTTCTGATGGTCCCCAAATTATTTAACTTATCTCATTTTAGTTCCCAATATTTCAATTGAATCAAATTAATTTCTAAAGCATTTACTTTGATTTATTTTGGTCCCACCGCAGATGCCATTTGTTTTTTGTCGTCTCCGTCTCCGTGTGCCATTCACGTAAGGGGCAAAGTGGACATTGCCCATACTTAGTCCGGGAGGGAAACATTCCCGCCAACTCCTTCATGCCCACGTCTCCATGCCCAGCTTGTCCAGCAGACAAAGGAAGCAAACAGAACATCTCAAACCAAAAAGAAGAAGAAAAGGGAGGAAAAAAGAGGAAGAGAAGGGAAGAAAGAGGAAAACGTGAGGGATGAAATTCATGTTATGGAGGAGTTGGCGAAAATGGAGGCAACACCATGCTACTGTAGGGAAGTAACTCTTTTGATTATTCTGACTTTGGGTGGGGAGACTATTGCTCCAAGGCTCCAGAAATATCATCCGTTCTCACAGCCACAGTAGAAGATGATGAAGCTCAACTGGTGGAGGATGCTAATCCTACAAAGAAATTGGAGTCCAACTCTGTGGACTTGGTGTCTGGTAAAGAAAGCACTGTGAATAGTTTGTCTGAAGAGCTCTTTGCATTTGAGTCCCAGATGAAGTTCTTCGAGATCCCTGATCTTGAAGGGAATTGGGATGCTTCAGTGGACACTTTCCTCTATGACAGCACAACTCAGGATGGTGGGAATCCGGTGGATCTTTGGATGTTTGGTGACTTTCCTCCCGTGTTGGGGAGAGTTTTCTGAGCATCCTTTAGTCCACTTGCTTGCTTGCTGTAAATAAAACTGCATGTCAGTAATTTTTGCCTTGTAGTAGCTTCTTCCATGAAATATTTGTTTGTCCGCATTTGTTCCGATTTTGATTGGTGCTATATCTTCTATGAAAAAGGATGATGCTATTTTTCTCTATGGTTCTTTCAGGGTGTTTGTTATTGGTGATTGAGATGGTAGACAAACAGTTAAAGCATGCTAAGCTTAGATGATGATCTCAATTGGACTAGTTGTATGAGGAGTACATAGGTAATTAGGTTTATTTGACCTCGAGACCTTGAATTTAAATTTTCTGTTTGCTTCCTTTGGCTGCTGACAAGCTATAACGTGAACGTGGAGGAATTGGTGGAAATGTTTCCCTCCCATACTAGATATGTGCAATGTCTACTTTGCCCCTCACGTGAATGGCACATGGAGACGGAGACGATAAAAAACAAACGGCGTCTGTGGTTGGGGCTAAAATAAATCAAAGTGAATATTTTGGACGTCAGTTTAATTTAATTAAAATATTATGAACAAAAATGAGGCATAGTTAATAATTTGGGGACCACCCGAGCAAATAACCCATTTATAAATAATCTTAAAAAGTATAAAAAAAAAAACCTTTAAATTTAAAAAATAAATAAATTTTGTACATGGTACCATTTTTTTTGAGTAATGTTACGTGCATTTAAAAAATAGATTTAAACATTAGACTCGATAATTTTAACTGTTAATTTAACTGTGAATCTTAATATTTATTAGAACCTACTATCTATTTAATTATTAAAATTATTAAATTTAATTTTTAAACTTAATTTTTAAATTTACGTAGCATTACTATTTTTTTTTTTTTTGGTACGGCTATCTTCTCCTTAATTATTAGGGTACTCGTATAAATGTGGAAAAAATACGAGGCCAATCGCTTGTAGCTGAAAACTTCATCAGAAGAGAACGAAGAGGAGGGAGGGAGAGAGAAGGGGGGAAAAGCGGCTATTTCTGTATGATTTTCTATGCCCTCGTTTCTAGGGTTTCAATCGTTCATGACGAACCATGCGTTAATCCATTCTGACTCCTCCGGCTCGTGTTTGATCAGCACTTGATTTTTCTACCGCCCAAGACCTGTGCCAGTCGTTTTTTGCGGTATACACACACACACACACTGAACTACAAAAACACTCATGAACTCAATTTCAATTTTCCCTATGCGATGTATGCAGTGACCGATGAAGTAGTTGATGCTGTTCTACTCAATTTCTTTTGATGTTGCTCAAATTAGCATTAGAATATGGGTTACCTTCTGCTTATCTTACTGTTTTGATCATGTATGTACGTTGTGTGATGTTTGTGAAAAACCATTGCATTGCCTTTTTTTATTGTGATTGTGATATTAGTACCAACGTTTTATTTTATATTTTTTGTAAACCTACAAGTAATCAGATACGTAAACAAAACACTAATTATAGTCTTACAACAGATTCTTGGGCAATATACTGATATTAGCGAGGACAATGGCGTGAATTTTTGCGGAAGTGATGTGGTCTGATTGCGTTCAAGATTAAGGATGACATATAGGCATATAATGTTCAAGTGTTCTTTCTGTGTTTTTTAATGTTTTTGATGACATGAGAGGCGGCCAATCTTTCGCCACTGTCTGAATGGATCTAACCAAGTTCCCCTGATTCTCTGAATTAACTTCCACTGTTTGATGGAAACATGTGTACAAGTCTAAAGATAGATTCTCACTCTCCTAGATTTTGTAGGCCTATAAAGAGGGAAAAAACCCTTCAACTTATTGTTGTGGAAATATTTGTTTCCATTACATTTGTCCTTGAAGGTTTACAGTTATACATCAATTTTAATTTCTGGTTGGTTCATATATTATTCTTTACCAGTTTACCTATATAAATAGTTATTGGTTATAAATGCTAAAATGTTTTTCACCTTCGTATGTGTATATAATTCTTTCGGTATTTTCCAGATGTACTAAGAAGAGAGCAAGATTTAACTGTTCTTCTTTTGCAGGACAATTTTTGGACACCTGTTGATGGGTGCTCCTAAGCAGAAGTGGACATCAGAAGAAGAAGCTGCTCTTAAGGCTGGAATAGCTAAGTATGGGGCAGGCAAATGGAGCACAATACTAAAAGACCCACAGTTCAGCACTATTTTGCGTTCGCGTTCTAATGTAGACCTTAAGGTACAAGATTTGCAGCACTTTAATTTCCCCATGTTTTATGTCTGAAGTTTGACTGGGTTAGGCATGCTGAATTTGTTTGATGCATTTAAAAACATATAAGAGTTCCTTGTGCTGTATTTATGTTTCTTTTTTACATTCAGTACAAGATGTATTTATGGATATGCTATTTGATTCCGGACAGGATAAATGGAGAAATATGAATGTGATGGCCAGTGGATGGGGGTCTCGCCAAAGGGCTAGGCTTGCAATTAAAAGCAATCAGGTGACTCCCAAGCATGATGAGAACTCCACAACTCATAGCCCGCCAGTAGAAGAAATTGTTCATGCTAGGCCTGTTGAAATATCTGGAGGACCATTGGAAAATGGTTCTGATGCTGCACCTGTTGCAAGCTCTCATGAAGCAATGCAAAATGTTGTTTATGATGTTAAACCTCTTGCAACATCTCAGGGACCACTGCAACGTGTTGGTTCTAAGAAGCCAATTTCAAGGTTACTTTTATTTCTCATTTGATATGATGCTTTTCATTTTCTGAAGTTTGATTCTAGGCATGCACTTGAGTACCCATAGCACTAAATTAATCTGAAGGCCCTAAATCTTGAGTACCCATACATTTGATCATAAGATAAATGCATATCCTATTTAAGCGCGTTCACAGGTTATAAACAGCATGATAGTGGAATGTCACGCTACTTTCTTCACTTCATGTCTTTATTTGACAAGATCTTTTGGAATTTATTTTCATGAATGTAGGTTGGATAATCTTATATTGGAGGCTATAACCAATTTGAAGGAACCTCATGGTTCTAATCGGACTGCAATTGCCATGTACATAGAGGTATTCAACTTTGGTGTATTTGACCCGTGATTCCTAAACTTTGGAATGTTTTGTGCAGAAGTACTATATTAAAAGAGCCGGCTAGTTTGGTGCTTAAACTTTTGATCTTCATATGCTGTAGATAATCTTTGTTCTTTCATGAGATGTATTCCTTTTTCTATTTCAGTAAAATGCTGGGCTTGTTCTGGGTTGGAGTGATGCTCACATGTCGAACTTTTTTTCTCTTTAAATTTCATTCTTATTCATTTTTTTGTTTGTAAATTTTTTTCGGCATATATATATTTGCTCCTTATTTTATTTTTAAATTTCTAATATATTTGGTTTCTTTTGATAATAAAGGATACTAAAAATATTTACATAATGAAATAATATTTGCTACCATCTAAATACCAAAGTTTATGGCTGCATGTAGTAATCATAATATCAGAAATATTTTCTTTCCCAGTTGTACTGGGCAGTCTGGATGACTTCGCTTGATAATTTTCTTGCGTTTGTTTGATTTTCAATTATGAATCTCCACAACCTCCATTCAAGTTGCGACAATGATCTCACATGTAATTTGATGAAAAGGTGCATACTTATGTCTGGATTAATGTGCAAGGATCTTTACAAACACCAATAAATGGATAAGTTGAGTTCTAATTCACTTTTGATATGTTGCATTCTGGTTTATTTTTTTTTTTCATTTTTTTATTTCCCTTCTATGATTCTAACATCATGTTCTTTCTATAGGAGCAATACATGGCACCCCTGAATTTTGAAAGGCTGTTGGCGACAAACTTAAAACTTCTGACAGAAAATCGAAAGCTTATTAAGGTAATTAACTTTCTATGCATTGATGGAATTATATAGCTCAACAATTGACTTTCCCTCCCCCTTTTGATGGGCCAAATACATTTAAAATCATTGAATTTAGCATGCTTGAATTTTGTTATTATCTTGAGAAAAATATTATGCCGTATGTATGAGGAAATGCATTCGTAGATGTCTAATCTTTGGCTTAATAGTCCTTTCCTTTCAGTTTTTTTCTTCTTTATGTATTGGTCATGGTATTTTTATTAATCGGGTTGGGTTGTCAAATTTAAGACTTTTTTGGGGTTTTTAAGAAAGTTTGTTACAGTTTTGTAATTTGAGGTCTTGCTGCCACAGAAAGTGTCATTGCTGTCTGCAACTTTTAGATATGATACATTGAACTGCAATGAAATTTTTCTTCTTGTCGCTGATTTCTATCTCTACATGTAATGTGTGCCTTACTGGATGGCCTGTCTTTGGTGCCTTGGATTTTTGGGCTTTGCTATTGTGTTAAACTGGGGGAATGGCTCAAGGGGATATTTGAACTTGCGTACTCATTAATCCTTCTTTGCAATTCTTTCTTAAGTTCGTTGATTTCTTTTGGAAGTACCTCTGAATATTGGCACCTTTAATAACCTTACAAACTCTGTCACCTCTATACATGGGGTTAAATGTTCGTTAAAACAAATTTGCTTTGATTCTTGAGGTGGAATGCCAATTTTTTCTCTGATGAAAGCGATAAGGCATGCAATCCCTTCTGCCACTGCCAGTCTGACTTGTTAATAAGATATGAAATGTGGCCTTTGATTTCCTAGACCGCTGGGTGCGCTTTTTGTTTTTGATTGCCAAACGACTATCTATCTTTACTTGATCTTCTGTTCCTCAATGGACCATCTTCCTTTTTTTTTTTCCTTCTTTTCATGTGTGGAGGGTTTAATACACGGGTCAACAAGTTATACCTGATTCGAATAATTCATTTGCGTTAATGTGGAGCTTTGATATTGTGTTAGCTACTGGAATTTTTTGTATGTCTTGAATTGTTAATCACCAGCAAGTAATCTGATATGAACTTTTGTCAGAATGTTCTATTCCAATGGTTAGTTGACTTTCATTTTTTCGCAAACATTATGTACTATTTCAAGCAATACATTTTGGGTTCGATTCCGGAAAATAGCTTCTCCAAAATGGTTGTAAGGGTGTTTAACACTTGTCTTTCCTAAACCACACTACAGGCGAGAATCTTGTGCATTAGGTGCAATCTTTAGCAAATAGTGAATGCGATCTTCATTTATTGGATTGATATTGGGCAGGCACTGTTATGTTTTTAATCAATCCAGTTATTTATATCTCTTTTCTGGCTTTACTTCTGATCTTCCTACCTGATGACCTGCCATAATTATTCACCTTACAAATAGCTCCAGCATGAAGTGTGTCTTAGTCCCACTACTTTCTCAAAGCTTAGCAGCAAAGCTTTTATATTTCAGAGTAAATCAGCATTTCAGTTGTACACTGAGTCTTTAATATATGACCCCACGTAAATAACTGTTGATTTCCAGGATTGTAGTCATCTAGAGTTTAGAGGAGAATAGTATTTCCCAAACCACACTACAGGCGAGAATCTTGTGCATTAGGTGCAATCTTTTGCAAATAGTGAATGTGATCTTCATTTATTGGATTGATTGGGCAGGCACTGTTATGTTTTTAATCATTCCAGTTATTTATTTCTCTTTTCTGGCTTTACTTCTGATCTTCCTACATGATGACCAGCCATAATTGTCCACCTTACAAATAGCTCCAGCGTGAAGCGTGTCTTAGTCCCACTACTTTCTCAAAGCTTAGCAACTAAGAAGCACGGATATGGACACGGGTGTCATATCCGATACGATACAGACATGGCGATACGGTAAAATCCCAAAATGTAGGATATGGGTACGGCGAGGATACGGCTAATTAAAATAATTATATATATTTTTATATATATAACAACAACATTAATAATAACAAACAAGACATAGCAAACATTACTTAAATTGAAATAGATCAAAATTCAAAAAATATATATAATTTTCAAAATCAGCAGGCAGCAGCACAAATGTCCAAAAAAAAAAGCTAGCTAGGAAAGCACAACAAAAAAAGAGAAGACAGAAGCACAACAAAAAAGAGAAGACCAGCGAGCAGCAAGCAACATAGCACCGAAAGGCAGCGATCTAGAAAAGCAATTTTCAGTATTTAAAACCAGTTGGCAGCAGCACTAGCACAGAAAGGCTGCAACACAGATGGCCAAGACCAAAAAAAAAATTTGAAGGCAGCAAGCAACACAACACCGGATCAAAAAAAAATCCCCAATTAAATTAACCTAATCAAATTTTTTAAAAGTCCATACTCCACACAGACCAGAAAATGAAGAGGTAAGAGCAGTAGTAGATTTGAAAAAAAAATAGAAGTAAGAAGAAGATCGCAGTCGCAGGTGAGTCGCCCTTCCTCTTCCCTCTCCTTCTTCTCCTCCTCCTCTGGTCCTCTCTTCTCTCCTCCTCTTCTCTTCTCTTCTCTTCTCTCCTCTCTCTCTCTCTGTCGAACACACCAAATGTCGATTGGAGTCGGTTCACAGATCAACGACGCTTTAGTTTTTCCTTTTTCAAGCCAAAATGACGTAACTTTGGCCTTTTTTTTTTTTACGACCCCCTTAAATTTTTAAAATAACAAAAGTACCCCGGCGTATCCCTTACGTATCCGAGACATATCCGACCAAAAAAAATGACAATCATTGTTCAGGACACTTCTGCAAGTGTCGGACACGTATTCGACCGTTGGACACGCATATCGGTGTCGGACACGTGTCCGACACTGCCACGGCGACCCCCCGACGAGTATCTATGCTTCTTAGCTTAGTAGCAAAGCTTTTGTAATTTAGAGTAAATCAGCATTTCAGTCATAGTTGTCAAATTGTGTATCGGAAGGCATATCGTTTTTTAAAATAATGTATCGTATTGTGTCGTGTATCGTAAGATACGCACAATTTTAATTTTTAAATAATTATTACTAAAATATATATATATATACTTTTGTAAAAAAAATCATAGATTCATAATAACATAACATTTCATTAATATTTCATCAACTATTCAAGTTCCCAATATAGTTCAATAATATTAAATACAAAGACCTCTAATTCAAACTTCTACCATCAACTGGTTGAACAACCTTAATATTAATCAGGATTTTTAAATTTAATTGAACAATATTAACTGCAAACTTTATTTATTTATTTTAAACTATAACTACTGAAATGACGTTGTTTCACTAGCTAGTGATTTAAAAATAAGTCTTAACATAAAATGATGTCATTTCAACCCAAAAAAAATAAAAAAGAATTGTCACGTATCGTACGTATTGGGTGTATCGTATCGTGTATCGTACGATATGGTACAAAAACGATACAAAAATACGATACGTATCGTTTTTCAGGTGTATCGTGATGTATCGTACGATACGTATCGCGTATACATATTGTACGATACTAATAACTATGATTTCAGCTGTACACTGAGGCTTTAATATATGACCCCACTTAAATAACTGTTGATTTTCGGGATTGTAGTCATCTAGAGTTTAGAGGAGAATAGGACTTCAATGTTGCTCAAAGTGATTGGTTGTGTTTGACCATTGGATAGCTAGTTCAGAGCATATCTTTCTGGGTTTGTATCTTTCCCCACTGTATGTAATCTTGTAGCACATCAGTTGAATTTCAGGTCCATATGTCTGACCTGGACTTTTTAACTACATTTTTATTTGGATTTTTAACTGCATATCCGAGGGCCTTCAAGCCTATTTTTTTTTTTGTCATATAGTGAGAGAGAGAGAGAGAGTAGTCGCAATAAAAATAATGAAACAAAAAACAAGATGAACCCTACCGTTCTCTTTGTAAACTTCTACTCCGTTAATTTTTAACTTACGATTGTGTGTGTGTTTGTTTTTCTTATAGTGAGTGTCCATGATAATCCATATTCTGATTTCTAACCATATGGTATCATAAGTATAGTCAGGGTGTTGCCAAGCCAGGTTGCTTGGTGCAATCTGCATTCAGCCTAGGTGTTCCATGGCAGTTGGGGAAGGTGGCATTCTAGAAACAAAGATACAGATGCTTGGGCTGTTTGGCAGCTGTCTAGATATAACTAGATTGTGACACCTTCATTATTATCGGATGCTCCTCTTTTGTAAGTTGCACAAGCGAAAGGCTCTTGGATCATTCGGTTTCACGTGGTAGTAAACATTTTCCAGTTGAGCAGTGAGAATTGATATATTGTTCACCAAGTAGTCGTAGTAGTAGCAGCAGCAGTAGTATTAGTAATAATAATAACAACAACAAAACTAATGATAATCTCTAATTGAAATGCATTGGTGAGAAGCTATTGTGTGACCAACATAAATTGTTGTCATGGACAACATTTGCAGATCCAGGAAGTTTAGTAAAAAGGGGAGCAGAGTTTTCTGTGAAGAAAGTTGTCTAGGCTTTTGTCCTTGGATCTTAATTCTCGTATTTGCATTGACAGGTAAAGCATCAGTACAGGATTGCACCAAGGTTAACATCATTTGATGTAAGAAGAGATTCTTCCCCGCCACAAGAGGGAAAGCAGAAGGATTCTCCAAAAGTTGAGACAAACAAGATAAAAATTCTCACTAAAGCCCAGATTGATGCTGAGCTAGAGATGATGAGGAACATGACTGCGGAGGAGGCTGCTGCAGTGGCTGCACAGGCAGTTGCAGAGGCAGAAGCTGCAATTGCGGAGGCTGAAGAGGCAGCAAGGGAAGCGGAGGAAGCAGAAGCTGAGGCAGAAGTGGCAAAATGTTTTGCTGAAGCAGCAACAAAGGCATTAAAGTGTAGAACAGTCCATGCCTGGTAAAGTCATTCTTTCAATTGTTATATTCATAGATGTCTTCAAAAATAAGTCATGATTTTCGTAGTGTGAGTGCTGATTAGCCAATTAGGCATTTGTGCACTTTGGGTACTATGCTTACTGGGTTGTTGGATAGGATTAACAAAGATTGGGAGACAGTCTTTTAATACCGAACACACTCAACTGTGCTTTTTTCGACAATATGGGGTTGACTACAGGAACCCTTATTTCCTGATTCACATTTGTTCAGGTAAGAATAAACATAGTGGCAGTTTTTTACCTAACAAAACCCTATCTTCTTCATGCTTGGTACTGTATGTAACAAGCTGAAGAAACCTAACTGTGCATCTAGCTATTTTAAAAAAAGTCAAGAAGTTATGATTACCTCTTTTAATTTGCTTAGTCGGAAAATAATTAAATAAAACTCTTGTGTAATAAACTATTGTACTTGTCAGAGTTTTGGACAAACCCTTGGGGGTTGTTTGGTTCATGGGATTAAGGTGGATCAGTGGGTGGGATTGAGGGAAAATAGTCCAGGGGCCCCATATAACCAATGTTTGATTAATTTTTAAGGAAGGGGGATTAAACAATTGAGCTAATATTGGCCTAATATAAATAGTAGATTTTACCCCATGTATAGGGGTTTGATGAAACCCATGGGGGTGGGTTTCTAAAGTGAGAGATGAGATTTGTAGGTAAAAAGACTACTTTATCAAAAAACTTATTCTTCTATTCACCTAATAATGGACATTTTAGTCAATTGAGAATTGTGATTTGACATGAATCCATGGACCCCATATGTATTTATGTCACTTACTAAACATGGGATTGGATAGGATTTATTGTTTTAATCTCATGTACAAATCTTTGGGTTGGGTTTGAAAAGGGCTTCATGAATGCAAGTCAATCCCCCCCCCCCTCTTCAACCGAAAAAAAAAAAGCCATCTTAAAGGCCCTTAATGCAATACAGTTTGTTATCTTGTGCGATGATAATACCAACAATTTCCATGAATTCTAGTTTTTATTTTATGGTAGATACTGCACTGCTGGTCACATACAAAAGGTTACTTGCAAGGTGCGAAGAGCAGGTGACAAGGTGATACAGTCACCTAGTGGACCTAAATTCAATGTTAACACATTATTGAATGGTTTGTACTGCAGAAAGCAAAACCTGATTATGTTTGATATCATGCTGAGTCTTTTCATACTCAACACCTATACAAGTTTTCTACCTTATCTCTGATAAAATATCTGATTCAAATTATTGGTGCCTTAATTTGTAACTGACATGGTTGCTGTCAAAGTGTTGCGGAAAATGTATCTGATGCAACCACAGATCATAGCTGCATAACAATTGCATACAGTTCATAGCCTTGTTTTTTGTACTTGTTTATTTTTCCAAATTAACGGTATCTTTTGCTGGCATATGCAGATGGCAAAAGCTTCTGAGTATCCGTCTTGATTATTTGGGATGAACCATCGACTGTGCTTGGCTCAACAAACTGGGTGCAGCTGTCTTCTGCAGACGTGGCAATAAACTACAGATACAAGTAGAGTTGTAAATCGGGAATGTTCTTTGATTACAATGATAGGCAGAGGCTTGTTAGCTTTGAAATTTATGAAGAGGAGAATAGAATAGCTTAAGAAATATGCAGCATTTTTTTTGGGTATCCAACTACCATCTAGACATTGTATTAATTTTTTCGGAGTGGTGCTAGGTTTGAGAATGCCCTTCAGTTAGGTGCACGTAAATACTATGTATAATGCTCATTCCTTCTTTTCATCGCTCCTTCCCCTCTGCTTAGCTGCCTCAATGCCATCATGGCTGCACTATAATCTATCGTCACTCTTGCTTTGTGATGCTATGTTGGTTAGCTTACTATTGCTCTCTCACTCTCTCTCAACACATGCAAAAACACTATACATGTCAAGTGCACAAATGCACACAAGCAGATATATGCATCGCTGAAGCAAAAGCTTAAGTTAACTGACAGACGATGTCATCCACTAAATGGAAAATTAGCTAGGAAGGGAACTTGCCATTAATTTGAATGTTTTCTGCCAATATTCATTAGTGTAAGATTATCAAGATCGTTGGTTTTTTTGTCAGAAAAACCAGCATCACAGCCGGGTTACAATAATAGGTGGCTATGATGGCTGAGCTATTACACAAGCAACTTGGGCCTTTCAAATTTTCGTGCCATGGTGCATACTGCCGTACAAGCCGTAGCCACACCTATCAGTTGTTCATTGTAACTAAAAGGCTCACCAAAACAATATATACGTGATGCAACCTAGTCTAGAGTGTCCTAAACACCCGATCAATGCTATTTGCCCACAAGTTAGCTGACAATATGTTTATGTGCAATAACTTTAATCCATAATCTCAAGAATTGCTACAAGGAATAGAATTCAGCATTGCGTTGAGGTAGAAATAACTAAGCCTATGATAAAAGGGTATTATTCACATGAAGTCTGCACATGATGAATATCCCATGAAGATTAATACAACTCCCCGTACAACTTTCCGGGACAAAAAAAAAAAATTCGGGTTGCCAATCCTACAGCTGTGTGTAATAATAGGTCATGCGTGAGTAGTATGTTAAATCCTAGTCGAGAGTTCACAAATGAGAACAGCTCATCCATCTTTTGGTGTATATGAACTAAAAACCAAAAGGGATAACTTGTACACAGTAAATTTCCCAATGTCTACGAATCAGAATCCATCTGCCATCCAAATGTTGAGCAAACTAGGAATAAAAGCAGGGTAGTATTTCAAACCTTCATAGACGAGCAACTCAAATTGTAGTAATAGAGCATTTACAACAAGCTGAAGTCTGTAAAATTATAAAACACCACTTGCGAGGTTGTTTGTGTTTATGTTATTGCTAACATGCACGCCAATACCATATATATGTAAGAATCACATAGTAATATAGCACAATCTAGTAGAGAGGTTTTTGCAGACTAACGAAGGAGCGAGAAGAAGTGTTAATGAAGAGTTCAGAACTCTACCTGAACTTTCTACCCCGCAATGCTCCATGTCTAAATGTAATCAAGTCAGATGAGGAAAAGGAATGCGACACAGATTTGGAAACAGCCTAACTTCAAGAAAATTGAAATATTGCCCCCGCTCAGGCAGTGCAAAGTAACAAAATCTATCTCCATTTGTATGAACTTGTAGAAAAGACAATTGAAAATTTTCACGATGGGGTCTGAAAGAAATCACAATTCAGAACTCAAAGCAACTTTGGGGGCCTCCATAGGAGAAATGAAGGGAAAACAATGAAATAGAAACTTCGTGGACAACTTTTGCTGGGAAAAAAAAAATGTGTTCCACATAAAAATTTCAATTGCTTCCAAAAGTAGCTGACGTTAGGGTTGTGGGGTTGCACATCATGATAAAATATGATTTAAGGAAGAATTTAGTAATTTTTGGATTTGCTAAACCCCAAATTCTTGATATTTCAACCCCACCTCCAAATTTTCTCTCTCTCTCTTTGGGTCTATAGAGTCTTTTGGAATCCTAACTAAATGGGCATTCACCTGCTCATTTAGATAGTACCAAGAATGTGACCCAGGCACCCAGCAAAATGGTTTACCCTAACTTAATGGAGATAGGAATATCTTATATTCAAGATGTTTCTTTGCATGCAATGATGTATAAACGATTTTCAATCATAAATTTTCCATCCAATAAAGTGCAAGTGAACATGGAAACAATGGTTCATCAAAAATTTCTAAGCCTTGGAGTTACAGAAGTTTAGTTTGCATTCTAGGTATCCCCAAAACACAGGCAAGAATATTCTTCATAGCCTAAGCATTATTTGGGTACTTGATCAGCCCAAACCATACCGCTTAGAAAGCACAGGAGGGTGTTATTGAGGATAATTCAGTGAGGATGGGAACTATCAAGAAAATAGATACCGTTATCTTCCAATGACGCATGCTCCAACAGACCTCAAAGTCCAACCAAATCTATAAATCATGCGATCTAGAGTCATCATGTTGAAAAAAACTACTACCAAACCAAGCTTGAACTGGGAATTGCATTCCACGAATACTATAAAGTTGTAATGATCTAAGCCTTATGATTCACTCTAATCATAAACGCACTTAAAAGTTGATAGCTTGATTGATCAACAAAGCATCAAGAATAGCATTAATCATTAAGCAGCTATAAGGAATATAAAAGCAATCTTTCTCATCATTCCAGCAACATCCAAAGGAGTACATTGACTGCAAATATGTGCGTGTGTGTGTGTGTGTGTACCTGTCCATTATACCAGCAATCCAAACACAAAGAAGCCAATTCCAAAAATGTTGCAAAAAATATTTTTCATTGCCATTTTCAAATCAGTACGAAAATTATTCTATATCGACGATACAGAAAGAAGCTAGAAATCCAGGAAAAAAAAATCAAAAACTAATTTATTCCAATACCACAGTAGCACCCACTACCTTGAGCTTCTCCACAATGGAATCGGCCTCTTCCTTGGTGACACCTTTTTTCACCACAATCGGTGCTTTCTCAACCAAATCTTTCGCTTCCTTCAACCCCAAATCAGTGAAAGACCTAATCTCCTTTATAACTTTAATCTTCGCCGCCGCATCGTACTTTTCCAGCTTTACATCAAAAGCAGTCTTCTCGGCGGCTTTTGCGTCGGCCGACTCAGACCCAGCCGAGGAGGAAGATCCAGACGACGATTCTAGGCCCGAGATGGCGGGGCCGTATTGGTTGAGGCCCATTTTGTGCCGGAAGAGGATAGAGTAATCGTACCTCTCGAGCTTGCTGAGGGAAAGAAGTTGGTCGGCGATTCGCTCCAGCTTTTGGGTTTGGGTCTCGGCGGTGGTCGATGGTGTTGATGTGCAGAGACTGCAAGTGAGGGGTGGTGCACGGTGGAGGAGGAAGAGCAGCTTGAGGGATCTGGAGGGGATTTTCGAGGTAATTGAGGTCATGTTTTGAGACTAGGTTCAACTTTCTCGGTGTCTACTGCGTTTCTTCTTCATTCAGTTCAGTGATCAGCATTTGGGAAGAGTGTTACAGAGAGCAGAACATTCTGCTATGTGGGTTTCTTTATCACTAGGGTTCTAAAGCAGGTGGGAAACAAGGGCAATTTCACCATTTCAATTCGGGTATTAAAACTGATGATACGACGTCGTCTTCACAACCTCCACTTCAGAAACCAATACCAAATTAATAATTTAAATTAGTACCATAAATAGATTTAAATTATAAATAGATGAAAAATTGACGAAACATCCACTAATCATGATACAATTTTGCTAAATATAATTTTTATACGAGACCATCTCAAAACAATGCTCATTTGATCATTTACAATTTATAGATAAATAAAATATAAATTACATAAATTTTTGCACTAGTCAATTTAAAAACTAACACTTGTACAACTCAACCATAAGATAGGGAGGCTTCTTTTTTTTTTTTTTTTTTTGTTCAAAGGTCGAGAGTGTTTAAATTAATTTATGCACATATCAATTAATCTTCTCTCTAATCTGATCAAAAGCAAATCATCCACATAACTTTAAGAATTGTGAAGATTCAAACTCAGAATATAAATTTACAACTCATTGCTATTATTATTTGAGTTATCATTTGAGATTAATCGAAAGGACTCTCTACCTTGGAAAAAAGAGTTCAAAAAATCATCCAATTTACACTTGTTTTGCATTTGATATGTGGGAATACTTTAATATAAAAATGAAATGAACGTGAAAATGAAATAGAATATACATTTCACATTTCTATTTCAACGCTTGATAATCTATGAAGTACGAATACGGATACGACGATACAATAAAATCTAAAAAAATAAAATATGGGTACGATTAAGATACGACTATAATAAAATATTTTTATTATTTTAAACCAACTTAATATTTATATATTTTGGTAGTTATTTAACACAATAAAAAAATTAATAATTATTTTTAATTTCAAAAAAATATATATCGTATCAATATGATATATTCACAAAGTGAAGTGATTAATTAAAATAATCAAAACTAATATTTACCGAGTCGGTTTATTTTGAAGTAATTTTTGCTGAAACCATAATATAATAGATTTATTTTATGCTCTCTTGATTTATAATTGTAGATAATACTTTCAAAATACTCATTTGCTTTTGAAGTAGTATGAATTTTTATTAATTTATTGTATGGTATGTGAATTCAAAAGGAAATGTTAAAAATTTAATTCAAAAATTATATATGTTGTTTTAATACAAAACTATCTGTTAAGTATCTTAATATTTAATTATTATTGGATACATTGAAAATATATCTGATACGTATTTTCGAATATCTGATATCTGATACAATATCAAATATAAATACGTCAACTTCGACGAAATATTCGTGTCTCGTAGTTGATAATAACTAGAATTAAAAATTCACATAAATATTTAGATAATCCCTCGTACTCAGGCTCGGACCTGATCTCAAACGTATACAGGAAGCCAGAAAGATTCCTTCGAGGACACACAAGCTCCCCCTATCCCCAGAAACTCTCGTGAGGTCTTGTCATGCTTATCGGCGGTGTAAATTGGGCGGGTGGGAGAGATTGATAGGTTAACTTTAGTTTAATCTTAAATATAAAATTTTCAATCTTAAATCTAGTTCTAACTCGATCTCAATTCGAGGCATTTAATCTGAGTATTGTTCAAGTTAAATTCGAGTGGATTAGGGTTTAATTCATGTTATCCAATTTGGACTTATTTCAAGTTGAATTTGTTCAGGCCCGAAATCATCTTGTTTTTCTAGATTTAATACATACTATATAGTATTCACATGAAATATTAACTTGCAAATTCAATCAGATCTTGACCATAGTGTTCAAAGTATAAAAAAATATACTGGATAAAAACCAAATTACACTTTTCTTAACATAAAAACGTAATAGCCAAATAAAAATAATAACCAAATTAACATAAAAAAGTATATTGGACTCAATGTTTAACCATAATATTTGAGTTGAACTCGATATCTCGTGACCTCAACCTGGATATTGTTCATATTTAATTTAGGTTGATGTTTTTTAACTCAGGCCCAATTCAAGTATTAAAAATCTTAACCAATAACTTTTTTTTTTTGGTTAAGTTCGAGTTGGCCGTCCAAATTGCACCCTTAATGCTTCTCTCGAAACCTCCATTACAAACAGTGTTATCAGAATGTCTTTCAAAATGAGGAATTTGGATGGCTTCTGCGTCTTGAATTGACTTTCAAAACTGAAGGGATCTGGATGTTTTTGCTTAACAAAGCAGTTTTGAAACAGCAGCCGTGCAGAGATTCACATGAAAGACGATGAAAATTTTCAACCTTAAAGCAAAGTCTAGTTTTCTGAAACAGAGGGTAATAATAAATTGCTAGATATAGTTTCAGAAAGAGAGATATATATGGGTCAAAGGGATATAAATTAAGTGTAGAGTCTCCCTATATATAGCCAATGAAAGTTACAATAAAGATAAAAAAGTAAAAAGGGAAAACTTAATGAACCACAATAAACTAAGTTGCTATATCTCCAACACTTCTCCTCAAGCTAGGCGCAAAAATATCAACTAAGTCAAGCTTGACAATTGAGTCCCAAAGAATAGATAGAGTGACAGGTTTAATGAAAACATCTGCAACCTGATCACTAGTCCCCACAAATAATAGAGTGGCAATACCACTGCTAACCTTCTCCCGAAGAAAAGTGAATATTGATCTATATATGTTTCGTCCTATCGTGTAATACAGAGTCAGAAGCGAGCTAAATAGCAGATCGATTATCACAATATAATATAGATGAAGAAGTCACTGGAAATCCCAACTCGCCAAGAATCGATCGTAGTTAGATAATCTCACATGTGCCAAGTGTCAGTGCCCGATACTCTGCCTTTGCTAAAAAGCGAGAGACAAATGACTGCTTCTTGCTCTTCCAAGAGATAAGATGAGTCCCTCAAAATGCACAAAAGCCCGTAGTAGATCAATCGTCACATGCTCCCCCATAATTTGAATCTGAATAATAGGCTAGATAACCAATCTGAGATCCTGATGCATAGAACAACTCAAATCCAGGACAAGACTTGAGATACCGAATAATATGATAAATTGCATCAAGATGAGACTGACATGGTCTGTGCATGAACTGACTGACTCGACTGACAGTAAATGAAATGGCTGACCTAGTGTTGGCTAGGTAGATAAGTTTACCTACCAACCTCTGATAAACAGTCGAATCTCCCAACTTCTCACCTTCAGCAGTAAGCTTTAAGTTTGGAATCGTGGGTGATGATGCCGGTTTGCACCCCAGCATCCCAGTATCTGAGAGAAGATCCAGAACATATTTTCTCTAAGAAAGAACAATACCTCTGCTACTACGGGCAACCTCAATCTCAAGAAAATATCGTAAAAATTCAAGATCCTTCACATCGAAGGCCTTCCCAAGGTCTACCTTAACCTGCGCAATCCTAGAAATATCATCGCCAGTAATAATAATATCATCAATATATACCAAAAGGATGACACACTGTTCGAAAGTATTCCGTCGAATGAAACAGGTATGATCAGAATAACATCTGAAGAACCCTAAACGTACAACTACATCACTAAATCGAGAAAAATCATGCTCGTGGTGACTGTTTCAGTCCATAAAGAGACTTTCGCAGTCGACAAACCTTTCCAGCATACTCCCCCCTCACCACGAAATCCCGGTGATGCATCCATATAAATAATCTCGTCTAGATCACTGTGAACAAATGCATTCTTCATATCCAACTGATGAAGAGGCCAAGAGTATTCCGTACCCAGAGAAATAATTAGTCGAACAATAGTCAATTTTACCACGGGGACAAAGGTAGCACCAAAATCACGACCTGGTACCTGAGTAAAACCCTTTGTCACAAGCCTAGCCTTGTGATGATCCATAGTACCATCCGCAAGAAATTTCAAGGTGTAAACCCAACAACAGCCAACAGGCTTTACCCCTGAAGGTATAGAGACAAAATTCCATATATGATTATGCTGAAGAGTGTTTGTCTCTGTCTGCATGACAAAACTCACTGGGGCACCCGCATAGTCTCTGAAACAGAGCGAGGAATCGGCTTATCTGATAAGGTCATACTATAAGTTCGAAATGTAGGAGACAGATCACCATAAGAAACATAAGCAGAGATTGAATATAAAATTCTAGCGGTCCATCCATAATGAACAATTGGACGACGATCACGCCGCGGATAACGACACCCTAAATCATCATCCTCTACTAATAATGTCTCATCATGTAAAACAACTGGCTAAGTACCTACAATCTCATTAGTACTAATAACAGGTGCATCAATATGCTCAACGAACTGATAAGTATTACCAGTATCGCCTGAGGTAAAGGGGACATCAGTAGGGGATGAGAGCAAGGACGATGAACATAAACCTTCAAAGGAAGAGAGACTGGTGACTCTGTACTGACAGGGATGAGTGGCTCTAGAGGAAGAGAGATCGATGACTCTGACTCCAATGGTAATGAAAAATCAAAGGAAGTATCATCAACTGGAAGAGCAGACACATGACTGAAAGAAAAATAAGAAATATGCTCAAGGAAGGTAACATCTAGACTGTGATACATATGTCGCCTAACAGGATCATAACACCGATACCCCTTAGACTGATGACAATAGCTCACAAAGATACAACGAATTACTTTATCATCAAGCTTATGACGAGTAGGAGACCAATCTTGAACAAAACATGTGCAGCCAAAAATACGAGGGGGGATCAAAAAAAGTGTCCCCTCAGGGAATAAGACCCGTAAGAGAGCCCTCTGCTGAAGAACACGACTCGGTGTAGGATTGTACAAAAAAGTAGAAGTCAAAACAGCAAAATGTCAATAAGATTTTGGTACCCCCATACCTCTAAGCATACAACGTACTATTCCTATCAGACTCCTATTTTTTCTTTCAGCAACTCCATTTTGCTCAGGAGTATATGGACAAGTGAGCTACTAAAGGATACCCTGAAAAGAAAGGTGAGACATTAAGGCATTAGACACATACTCTTTGGCATTATCTGAACGAAGAGTATGAACAATGACATCGAACTGTGTCTTAATCATCTAAAGAAATTGAGCAATGACAGGGTGTACATCAGATTTTCTATGCAAAAGGTAGACCCAAGTACAACAGGTATGATCATCTATAAATGTCACATAGTATCGAACACCTGACAGAGCAGTAACATGAGAGGGTCCCCAAATATCCGAGTGTATTAGGTCAAATGATTTGGGTGACTGGTGCATGCAAAGAACATAACTGGTCCGAACATGTTTTGATAAAGAACATATAACACAGTCAAGTTTACCATTAATATAAGTTTTGCTCAAAGTAGAAAATAACATATATAAATATTTAAAATTTGTATGCCCAAAACGGTCATGCCACAACTGCACAGTTTGTGATAAAAAAATCATAACGACAAGTATTAGGTAAAATACTAGCATATAAGTTAGCAACAGATAAAAACAAAACAGATGATAGAGGTGGAGGTGGAGGTGAGGTGGAGAAACTGGTGAAACGGGAGGTGGATCGCCTAAATAATACAATTCATTTCTCTCATGTCCCCTGATAATAATCCTCCTAGTACTCAGGTCCTGCAAATAACACGAATTAGATAAAAACACAACCACACAGTGAAAATCTCTGACTAACTGATGTACAGATAATAGATTCATGGCAAACTTTGGTGCATGAAACACCGAACGTAATGTAAAACCATCTGGGAGGCGGACTGTACCCCTACTAATAATAAGGGCATTGTACCATCTGCTAATTGAACTTGAGAATGTAACTGCTCGTCAAAAGAGGTGAAATGATGGGCATCACCTGTCATATGACCATTAGCACCCGAGTCTAGCATCCAAAGAGGAGACAGACTGACACAAATATGAAAGACACGAGGTATATCTGTAGTAATGACAGCAGTAGTAGTCGAACCTTGAGAAGTCAAGGCTGACATAAGTATATCCAAGCGAGAAGTGATAGCATTCATATCACTCTGTCAAGGAGCAGTAGTAACAGTAGTAGTAGGAACAATGATTGTAGGTGGTAGTGCTTTAGCAATGGCAACAGTACGACTGCGAGGAGGCGGTTTAAGCTTTGGATGGAGTTTCCAACAAGTAACCCTGGGATGTTCTAGTCGGCTACAATAATCACATTAACAAAAATTCTCATATCTACTCTGATGTGGGGTACCCTGACAGCATTGGGCCGAGAGTTGTTGACCCCTATACCCGGTGGAAGTACTAACAAATGTCACAACAGTAGGGATCTCAACTCCCTCAGTAGTAGTCATATCATCAATAATACTAGGGCACTCGTGATAGAAAAATAACTCTAAGATAAATAGCTAGATAAAATAAGGGAGAACAATGTACCTCCAGTCGAACAGTAGCGACAGATAAAGAAGGTCTAAAAAACTCCCAAATAATCAGGTCATGGTGCCTAGAAATCTAGTAAATATAAATAAATGATCTACTGTATCAAGAGCATATCAACGAAAAAGAGAAATCAACCCCTTTTAAAAGGTCATACGGTCCCGAATAATCAGGCGCACGAAGGCATAAAACGAAGCTATGAACATGACCTAGCAGTAGGCTGGTCCACTGGAGTGGGTACTGTGTTGGGATTGGACTGGGTTTGGGACTGGACTGGACTAGACTAAACTATGTTTGAGACTAGACTGGGTTTGGGACTGGACTGGAATGGATTATATAGGTACTGGACTGGACTGGATTATATAGGTACTTGGTTTGGTTGGCTTGAGAGGCAGTCGGTGCTTTATGACCAGTTTGGTGGGCTGACAGGCAGTCGTTGTTGGGCCTGTCAAAATTTGACACGATACGATTAATCGACACGAATTAAGCAAATTTGGATGAGACCTTAACGGGTTTGGGTGATAAACGGGTTAACCCGTTAAACACGTTTAATAAACGGATCGTGTTTGGATGAGACATATCAACTCGTTTATCACCCGTTTAAATAAATTTAATATAATAATAAATTAATAATTATTTTATATACATATAAAATAATGAATGAATAAAAAAAATAGTAAAAAATCATTTTAAAAAAAAAGTAAAGAAATCAGTTTGAGGCATTGAATTACTTTTTCTTTGAATCCCACGTCACCAGAAAAGAGTGGAGAGATGGAGCTTTGGTTGTCTATAAAAAGGGTAGTGGGCCTCTTGCTTATCAGCTGACCGGCTGTGGCTTATGACTGTTGGCTATGGTTGTTGGTTGTTGACTTTGGATGGAACTCTTCAAATTGAGAAAAGTACACTTGGGAACAAAAAAAAATGGAGTATAAAAATTTGTTAAAATAATAATTTTTTTTTTTTTTTTTATTTTTAAATGGGTTAAATGAGTCATGCCGTGTTACCCATTTATTAAATGGTTCGTGTTAAAACTTTTTATCCATTTATTAAACGTGTCTTGTATGGGTTTGTATGTTTTTCACCTGTCACCCGTTTAACCCGACACGATTGACACCTCTAGTTGCTGTTTTATGACCAATTTGGTGGGCTGAGAGGCGGTCGCTGCTTTATGACCGCAGTCGCTGCTTTGTGATTTCTATTTTTTTTTTTTTTGGGCTGGGTTTGTTGATGATATTTCTGATTTGTGACCGACAATGGACTGTCGCTGGGGAACTAGATGGCTGGTGGTAGGGAAGGTGATGAAGGCTAGGGTTAAGGTTAGGATTAGGGTTAGAGATGAAGGTTAAGTTCTGGTACCAAGAAGAGAGATATGTATGAGTCAAAGGGATACAAACTAAGTGTAGAACTCCCATATATATAACCAATGAAAGTTACAATAAAGATAAAAAAAGGGAAAAGAAAAAACTTAATAAACCCGAATAAACTAAGCTATTATATCTCCAACAGTTTCAAAATTCCTTCATCCCCAGCTCGAGATCCTTCTTGTGCAGCTCTAAGAAATGCATTCCTGTAAAATTTGAAGTATCAAAATTGATTTTCATGTACGTGACAACTGGTTCAGATGTTTCTCTTGCCATGATAGAGGTACAAGTGCAACTAGGCGACTGCCAAGACTACATCAATGCAGTTCTAGAGAGATTGTGGCATGTTGAAACTCGGTTTCGTGGTAATTGTCGTGTCTGACGATTATCTAGGTCCAGTTAAGCCTTAATCTCTGTTGGACAACTGGAAACTAGTTAATTATACACAACTTTAAAATTTTTGGTTCTCTCATACCAAACCAGTCCTCGCAATTTCGAATCATTACATATCGCTTTTCCATAGAACATTTCTCAACTTCGTTGAAGATCATGTAAAACCAAAATCATCCATGTACATCAACAAAAATACCATTTACCTGATTTAGATCAGCAGATCATATACTAGAATGGGCAGCCTCAATCAGGTAGAAATAACTTAATGTACAATGCATAGCGAACCAGAAGATAACAGCAATAAGACAATCAGCAACCAAATTAAAGATGAGCCAATCTCACCGACTACCACCAATGACACACACACATCCAAATTACAAGCATAGTGCCAATTGCTCAGCTCTTCGATTTGGAATGCTTGACAAGCCAATCAATGACCGAGTCAATGTTTGTAGAGTTCTTGCATGAGATCATAAAGCAGCATACCTCTCTGTCCGTTATAGATTTCAAATCCCTGCATAAAACATAATGCCACATTTGATAACATATTGGAAAGGGAAGAAAACAGAACGAAAAAAAAACCACTAAGAATTGTCAGTCAAGGGCATTAAAATGTTTGTACTCACATCTGATCAGTCAATGCCTGCTTAGAAAGAGCACCAGGCTTATCAATCTTATTTCCCAATACCAGCAGAGGAATTCCACTCAGTGAAGATTTGTTCAGCAAATCATGCAGTTCACTCCTTGAGATGCTGAGGTTGTCATGATCTGCAGCGTCAACAACATAACTGCAGGAAAAATCGAGTTCAAATAGCTAAATAGATCGTCATAGGTCATTTGAGCTGAAGCACACAGTTGCATACACAATAGCAGAAACTGCACGACAGTATCTCTCCCACATGCTACGAAATCTAGGTTGACCTCCAAGATCCCACAACTTTATTGTGACATTTCCTTTTGTGACCTTGCGCATATTGAATCCTACCTGAAGATCATAGAGTGTGCCATGCATTGATGATAATTACCTCGAGAACATATGGAATGAAATGAAAAGAATACAAAATATGGAGAATGTTCACCGTCAGCTTAAGCTAGTATGAATCACAGAACTTACTGTAGGAATCATGTCCTCGCTGTATCCACCAGTCTTAAGAACACAACCAACAAAGCAAGTTTCCGGTTCATCAAATTAGATCCACAATGGAATTCAGAAAATAAACAGCGAAACAAAAAAACAAACACCAGAGAATGAGCTACATCTATTTACTTACTGCAACAACATTCACAAGTGAAGTTTTTCCAGCATTCTGAAGCCCAATTAAAGAAAGCTCCATTTCCTGCTTGAAGAAAAGGCTGTAGCAATATGAACAATAACATGAGTCCAGTTAACTTGGAAAGGCATTTTATTGAAGTATGACACAGTAGCACACATACAAGCAAACAACCTCATCCTAAAATGAGATACGTACTAGAATAACTACTACATGCAGTAATTTATCAAAAGTAATAAAAGAAAGAAAAAAAAAACAACATATAGAGCTAAGAAGACCACCCAACTTCAACAGTATCTTTAATATACCGTCTGCTTCAGAAGAACAGTATATAGCAATGCACCAAACTAATCTCATCTTTGTGACCAAACACGGATCTATAAAAGAGATCCAGATCAATCACGCTTCACATGGTGACTCTTTCAGTTTTCAATATCATCAAGAGAGGTTCCTAATTTATATAATTGCCCGAGCACAGTTCTAAAGTGCCTCAACATTCCCCAGATTTGCCATATTAATGCCACTTTTCAATGGCCGAAGCACCATCCAAATTTTCATGCTTGTATGTGCTTCTGCTTTGAAATTTGTAGGGTAATACAGATGAAGTGATAAGTATCAGAAGGTAGGGAGAAAGGTAGTGCAATCTACTTTCTTATACGAGATATATCTGTGCAGGTCCATAGTTAAAATTCAGTAAGTTGCATGTAATGTCATGCAAGACATTGCCTCAAAACCTAGAAGAAAGCCACTATCTTTCTTTTCCGAAAAAAACCCAAATCATTCTGCCTATTTTCATGGACAGTTTTTAACAAGACAGTTTAATCTTGCAAGCATGAATTTGTCCACGACAACCTTAAAATACCTTTCTTTCTTCTTTGATGTAACACCAATTGATCTCCATTATGGTAGATATAGATCAATATGTAATCCATTCCAAAGAAAGTTTTAAGGTGAAATTCTATGATTATGATGTTCTCATCCTTTATGTCATTCTATAACAATCAGTGACTATCAAAGTCCACCCTGTTACCAAATTCTGATAAACAGGAAAAAACAAAACTATATCGCTTCCAACTTACTCATTCTTTTTCCATTTCCAAATTCTGACAAACAGGAAAAGAAAACAACACTATATCGCTTCCAATTTACTCGTTCTTTTTCCATTTTGGTTCGTTTGCACGTCTATAATAATAGATTCTGTTTTTTTTAGCAATATCCATTTACCTTTCCTGATCATGCTTCATTAATTATAACCATATTCCCAATTTGCAAGACATACTACAATCTAACAAAGAAATGTCAACAAGGTGGGACAATGTCAGCATGTTGAATATCTTCCACACACCCCCAAAACAAAAAACAAAAGACAAAAAACAAAAAACAAAACAGTGAGCATATCTAGTATTAAAAGTTGCACATCATCCTAGCTTAAACTCAAACTATTTTAATACGAAAACCTAAAATAAATTTCAAATCAATAGATTTCTGAACCAAGGAAACAAAATCACCTAACCTATTCTGAACGGGAAGCAAAACAAAAGGCCATAACCTTGTCAATTTTAAACCAAAAAAATTTGTTCCAATTCGCTACCATGTATACACCTAGACACACATCAATGTTAAAGGAAATCGAAAAACAAAATGGGAAGAAAAAAAAAAATCAAACGTCCACTAAAACCCATATAGCATACCCAAGATACAGATACAGCAACAGGAATCAAAAATTAAAAGACAGAATTCAGAATTGGAGAGAGGGGGAGTCACCTTCGAAGCCAATTGAGGAAAGCTTCCCACGGACCCATCTGTGACGAGAGGACTCGAAAACGAGAGCGAGAGAGAGATCTGTGAATCTGTGTCAAAGCAGATAGATCTCTTCGACTCTCTCTCTCTCTCTCTCTCTGATCGACTATTCCTTCAATTGACCTTGGTGAACCTTTTTTTTCCTTATCCTCCTCACCTGTTCTCGATACTGTTAAACGTACGTGCGTCCAAATTATTTTCCTTTTTTTCAGGTTATGGTTAATGATTATCGAAACGACAAAATAGAAAAGAAAATAGGAGCGTTGGAAGGAGACGAAGAAGTTACTGCAAGATATTATTTCTTTTAAATATCTATAGTTTTATATAATTTTTTTTATTTCGTAGTATCCATCGTTTTATGGAACTAAAACATAATAAATATTTTTTTTTAAATTTATCCTTATCTCTATTTTTTAATAAGTGCTTAATAGATTAAGTATAAGCTAAATGTCTTTCATATTTATTTTCTTCCTAATACGTGTTGAATAAGGGTATTTTAGTGTTGTGTAATTATTTTTTATTCATATTAAAACTATTTAATAACTTCTTTAATTCTTGTTAATAACCTTAAACAACAGATATTTAACAACGAAGAAAATGTAAACAACAGCTACGAGACGAAATAGGATTTTGGAGTTTAGCTGGATTTACGAGTGCGTGGACCAATCACAAAAGGTTTATTTGGTTTAATCATTAAGATAGACCGCAGTAGATAATGCATTCATCTTTTACTCATTTATTCTGTCATTCGACTAATTATAGTAATAACATCTCGTCGTTCTATATTTAGTTCAAGACTTAAAAGAAAGAGTGTACCTTACATTTATTTCATACAATAATTTATTTTGATAAAGTATTTAATGATGGTATAAATATTAAATTACTAAATAACCGTTAAAATAAATAGTGATATTTATATCCCTATAAATTCTTAAAAGTAAAAATGTCTTTTAATCAAATACATCTCAATTAAATTATTTAAATCTACAAAAAAAATAAATTTATTTAAGAGATCGTAAATAGTATTAAATATACTATTCATCCGGACCGATAGGTGGTCCCGACTTTATTTTTTTCAATCCCTCTTTGCCAGTAACAAAGACACCCAAATAGTTTGGTAAAGTGTGTTTTTTTTTTATTAGGAAGAGTTACACTTAAACTCTACGAGGTTGCTACTTAATCACTTATGTTTTATTTGGTAAGAATGATAGAAAGTAGGAGTGATACACTTTTTATTCTTCAAGAAAAAAAATAGAAATAATACACTTTTTTTTATTTGTATTTGGTATGATGGATGACAAATAAAAATGATTATTTTTTTTTTACTTGGTAAGATGGAAAAATAAATTTTTATTTTTATTTTTTTTAATTTTTATTTTAAAATTTCTTTTAAAAAAACTATAAATACATATTTTGTCATTATATATATATATATATATATATATATATATATATATATGCCCAATAAAGTTCAAAATCCTAGCTAATTTATTATATAGATAGCAAAAGATATATAAACAAATAAAATATATTTAAACACAAATAATTAATTTTTTATTAATTTTTCTTTCAATTTTAGAAGAATTAATTTTGGTAAGTTAAAAGAAAAACTCATTCATCAGATTTTTCATCTTTCATATTTTTCTTCCTTACCAAATATGATGTTTTATTTATCATTTCAACTTTCCATCATTTCTATTTTCCTTCGTTGTCAAACATTATGTTTTATCTATTTCTTCAACTTTCCATCATTTTATTTTTCTATCGTATCAAACAAAATATTTGACTCATGATATTTAAAATACTACGCACAGACATTTGAAGTTTGTATAAACGTAACACTTAAACCAATATGGTCAATTTTCGTTAGTATATTCATTATTCAATTATACTTTAGCTCATAAAGTTTGTAAGTGTGTAACATTGAATTGGACCTCGCAAGTAGTAAGGGAATTAACGAAATCTATTAAACAACCAAATTATCTCAATTAAAGAAAAAAGATATTGTATTCATTATAGTTTAACCCCTTATTTGATTTTTTAGTTTTATTTCAATAGACAATATAATTGTATGAAAGCGAGTATTGAATTGAATTATTTGATATATTTATATTGATTAGTATTTTTTTCTCCCAGAATTAGAATTTTGCTTAAGTTTTATGTCAATGAATGATATAATAGAACATGCAAATATGTTGATTAAACTTATTTCATATGTTTATACTTGATGATGAAAAAATTAACTAAAAGTGAAAAGTCAATTTAGTCTAAGATGCTCAAAATATGTTACTCCTACGTATTAAACGCAGCTCATATTTTTAACTCACCTACTGACTTAGGCATAAGAAAGTCAACCCCCGGAACACCCTCCGGTCTCCAACTTCTTTTTCAGGTGATCAAAGTCCAACAAATTGACGTAAAGGTCTTCCAAATTTTAGCATCAACGGTACTAATTATAATTTTTTTTTTAAAAAAATTTTGATTTTTATTTAAATAAATAACATAATAGAACCTAAAACTTGGTTACAAAATTTAAAATATTTAATATTCTATCTTTAATTGAAGTATTTTTGTGTCTAAATATATTATTTTAAACTTAAGAGAACTAAAACATTAGACGCTTTAAATTTCAAAGGTTTGGATGTAATTTACTAATGAATATTAACGATGGAAGTCTATGTGTTATGCCTATATAAATTTCAAAAGAGTTTATGTGTAATATTTTAAATGTCAGGGTCTAGGTAATTAAGTAACAAATCTTACGGGGTCTAAATATAATTTTTTTTCTTTTTTATTATATTTGTGGGGATATCTGAGTTTATTTACACACATTTTGACTAATCTTCTCTCCAATTGAATCACAAATATATAATCTATGATTGAATTAAATTGATTAATAAATAATAAGAGATAAATTATTCATGGCCCTGATCTAAAAAGTTATCAAATTTCTTACTCATAATATTGAGTTTGCAATAAATCCACTGGGCTAGGTTTTGGACACTAGTTTTGGGTCGGGTACATAACGGTTTTGTAGATGAGGACAAACAGTAGTACCTTTTATAACGAGCCAAAAGAAAGAAGTCTTCCTGTTCTTCTTTCCTGTTCTCTTTTTCATTTCTAAAAAGAGTAATTGATACGGTCAGAGGCCTCATAATCCCACAAATAAAGGTCAATTGGAGTGATTTTTAGACACTCTCCTTTATTTCTGATAGGACTTTTTTAGAAGTGCCTTAGATTAGTGACACGTGTCCTCAGCACCGAAGAGCCTTTTCTCGCCTCCGCCAGAGTCACGTGTCCTCGGCCCCAAAAGCCTCCGTTTAAACTTGGTACCAATGTATCTCCTTCGGCTGCGAATCCCTCGGTCCCGAGGGTACTTTATGTGACCCCACTCACTCGTTTTTATGCATGCTCCTCAGTTCATAAATCCTTGACTTCTAAGGATACTAGGGGTTGACGGATGGAGAACATAAACTAGGCTAGGGACTGCGAGGACATCCTACATAAACATTTAGGGTGACAGGTTAAATTGGACATTCAACCAAAAAATGTTAGACACGTGACGATGAGTACGGTATAAGGAGTAAAAAAACAGGCTTGTCTCTGCTCATATGCGGCCAATAAAGACATGCATTTAATACACCATCAGTTGATAAGACATTTACTGTGACTTGATAAGCCAAAGAGTTATAACATTAAATGTTTAGGGATCCGGGCTATTAATGCTATCACGTACAAGAAAGAACAATAAATACTCGACAAGCCGAACAATCAATACTATGACATTCCCCATCAAAAGTAAGGAGCACACTGTCTCACCTCTAAAGGCTACCAGTAATCTAGATTGTCAGCAATGATAAACTTTTGAAGGTATAAATAGTCTCCAAAAACACATTGCAAAAGTATGCAACATTGCCTCACAAGAGTCATACAGTGCTTTCTTCATCTCCTCTCTAAAAGAACTGACTTGATCGTGGGAGGGGATACGCCAGAAAACACTCCGACACCCTTCTAACCTGTTTTCTGTGTATCAAGAATCTCATAGATCTCCGGGATCAGTTTGACATTCACCACCAGTAATTCATCACCAGTCCTTAAGACCCCTTTGTCCCTCTCAACCTATTTCTTGTTGCCGGATCGACACCTTCCAGCAGTAATTCATCACCAATCCTTGGGACCCCTTTGTCCATCTCAACCTGTTTCATGTTGTCGGAACCACTGTTCTAACGGGTCAAATCTCAACCAGAGTCGATCGGATACCTCAGAAACAAATCATTACAACCACCTAAGCTCCCTTTGTCCCTCTCAACTTATTCTCATTCTGTCAGAATCGCCTTCTCGACAAACCAGAGTTTATAGTAGGAGAAATTTATTCTCATTTCAACTATTATGCAAAAATCAGCAAACACAACTCCCATCCCTTCTTTTTCATATCAAAAAAAAAAAATGTCCTATCCTTACTGTCCTAACTCGTCTAGAGATGGGTCTTCTCTCATGAATTGTTTTGTAGTTGATTTTGCTTGAAGGTTATAGCAAAGATAGGAAAGCCAAGAATGGCTGACTTAACTGGTGAGGGAAGTTGGTTCACAAAAAAAACTGGTGACGAAAGTTGTAAAAGAGTGAGATGGTGGGCCATGATTGGAGAAGATCATGTTTTTAAATTTTAATAAATATAAAATTAATTGAGAAATTGTGCGATGCACAGGCTTTTTAACTCCCACCCGTCATTTGTTTCACCCATTGAGAAATTGCAAAATTATAGGCTATTTGGGAATTCAATTAACTATGAAAAGTTTTTAGAGACTAAAACTAAATATTTTTAAAAAATTAGTTGACTAGTGGTTAGTAAATTAGAGAGTAAAAGGAAATTATAGCTTACATGATTCCAATGTTTGAGTATAGATTGAATGAATAAAATTAAATTGATCAAAATTCTAAAAAATTACAAAAAAGAGTAGGGAAGACTTCTCAAGCCCCTCCCCTTAATTTCATTTATAAGTTATGATAAATGTTTAACTAAAAATTTATATAATAAGGGATAAGGCAATTCAAATCTCCCAATGATATAAACTTATGTTGAATATTTTGCGATTCAGATTATTTCAAAAATTTATTTCTCGTGATCTCACGACAAAAAATTATCTATTGAAAATAAACTTTCCAAAACTGATTTTCATAAATTTCAAATTTTCCCCTTCACTCCCCCGAAATCTATTGAACCACAAATCATACACTTTAATAAGAAACTCTGATAAGGAAGGAATTTTATTCTGTCATTGCTAACGTTAAGAATTAATGGAGTAAAGAATGACCGTCTAATAAAGCGGTCAGCATTTTTGTCTGGCCAAAGAGAAAAAGAGATTCTGTCAAACTACGAGATCAGTCAGAATTGATGAACTAAGGTATTGTTATCATTAAAAGCAGTGGTGTGTCCCTACATTTCATGACATGTATCATTCATTAATCAAATACTACCACAAATACATTATCTTTACTTACTTTAAGCACACGTAGTGTTGTTTGAATTTTTATAGGAACACTCGTGAGAATTAATAAGCATCTTTTGGGAGATTACTCTATGTAGATAACCAATATTAACCATCATGGAGTGTGAAAGTGACCTTTTTTTAATTTTTGAAAGTTAAACACATTAAATGTTACCTTTGATATGAAGAATCAAATATCGTGGTTGTAATGTGATGGTGTTAATTAAGTAGAATTTTTAGGCCATTTTTTTTTTAATTAAAAAAAGGTCAAATCAAAATTTTATGTGCAATGGGTAAGTATCTTTTTGGGACTAATTTTTTGTTGTCATGTATTATTACTATTAGATCTCCATCCCCGGACAATAATAGATAGCAATGGAGCTAGGGCTAGACCTCTTTTAGATCAATTCGTCCAAATATTTTTTATTTTGTTACAGCGTGTCTAAATTTATACTGTCTACTCACTCCCTTGAGTTTGGATTCTGACCACCATACCTCGAGCGGATTTAGAATATGTCATTTAAAGAATAAGAGTAACTGACATTTAGAGAGAATGAGAAATGTTTGTTGGAAATAATGGTTTTAGAACAATTATTTTGAGCAACTTTGGCTTTAAATAAAAATGGGATTTACACCTCGAAATTGGTGGATCAAGTTTAAATGTGTTCTCCTTCCGCAAGGAGATTAATGTGATATATTTATTTGTTCTAAATCATTAAGTATTGAATGAAAAATTATATTTCAAAGTAATCTCTTTGAATGAATGGAAATAACTAAATTTAATGAAGTGTAGTGTATAAGGCTTGTTCCATAGAAGATCAAAATTTTGATGAGTTAATATACTTCTAATTGATTTCATGAGTTGAACTCCAAGGGATACCACACTTTTATAAATAAAGCGAGCACCTACATAATCTTAGTTACCACATACACGCACACGCACACGCACTCACCTCACCACAACTGGGCTTGGGCCATGGGTCAAAATATATTATTTTTTTGGAAAAAATTTATTTGGTGCAGTGCGGGTTGTGGGTCAAACCAAATGAATCCGAATGCAGATCGTCATTAATCTTCCAACTGAAATTTAAATATCCAACCAAATTTTTAAATTTTATGTCCGTTAATTATTTGAATTTGGCGCCATTTGGGTTGTGTATGTTCACACTCCTGGATGTTTTTCGTCTTTGTTCAGTGAACAAAAGTGTCTTTCTATGTGTTACTGTTCATTTAACAATGTGTTTATTCAACGAACAATGACATCTTATGTCTCTTCAAGCAATTCGAGCAAGCAGTAAGGTGTGTTTGGATAATGGGTTAAGGTGAATTAACACCATAATGATAGGTTATGAAGACAGTGGGTCCCATGAATCATTTGTTTGAGAAGCATTTTTTGAGACTAGATAACAATCCCAGGTCAAACCTTGACCCAATTGTTACAGTACAAATTAACCCTCCTACATAGGTTAAAATTAACTTACCTCCCCCCTGAGTTTAAATCCCAACCGACTGGATAAGCTGGGTAATTACTTATCTACCCCTCTCTTTCTTTCTTCGTTTTAAGGTTGTGAAGGTGACGAAGACTGTGAAGGCGACGAAGACGTCTTGGTTGTTGGTCTCTGGTAAGTCTCTCTCTCTCTATCTGAACTAAGATAGAAGCAGATCTGGCTCACTGTGGAGATCTAGATCTGCTTCGATCTTATGGCCGATGGAGATCCAGATCTATTTGCCCCTCTCTTTCTCATGTCACTCTCGTCCAAGCATCATTGTGAGAACTCGTCCAAGGACTGTTGCACAGAGGCAAAGAAAAAGACGGAAAGTGAAGAACCTTTGTGTACTGAAGCTTGCTTGATGAAGTATTCAATCAAAGAATTTTCTTGCTTTTGTTCAATATTCATCTTTCAAAATCTTTGTAGATACACAGACATTATATATATGTGTGTGTGTGTGTGTGTAGAGAATAAAACTAAGGTTAAACTTTGCCTCTCTGTGTGCTTGCTTCAACCAAGTGTTTTGAGGGGTCTCCTGTATATATCCAAACAAACGATGGGATTGAATTGAATTAGATAGAATCATGGGTAAAATAGTAAATTAATATAAAATTTTTGGTATAATTTATGGGGCCTACACAATTACACATTTGTTCCCAAATAAAAGTTTGAATTGGATATAGTCCCTAACTTTGAATTTAAAGTGGGTAAGTGGGTTTAGATTTGATGAGTTAGGATATAAAAAAAAAAGGGAAATTTGGAGGCTGGTCCCCCTATATGGACTTAAGTCTGTCAAGAAAACTTATTTGTTATGAAATTCATTTTTTGTCAATCTTACCATACTATCATTTCCCTTTAGAAGTGAAATAAAATTAAAAATTAAAAATTCCTAAATTTTAGGAGTTTGACTAACATTAAAATCTTTTACCTCTCATATCTATCTATATTCATATATAGATTAAGAATTTGACTAATATTAAAAAATTTTCTCTCTCGTATCTATCTATATCCATGTGTATGTTAGGTATATATATAGTAACATTAAAAATAAAAAAATAGTAACATTCAAATACAAAAAAAAAGTTATCATTTGAACACAAAAAATAATACATTTAAATACAAAAAAAATAGTAACATTTAAACATAAAAAAATTGAAACATTCAATATTAATATTTTTTAAAAATAACAATAGTAACATGTTCAAAAAAAACAGTAACATATTTAATAAAAATTGTAACATATTTAACAATAATTGTTTATCTCAAATTTAAACACAAAAAATATTAATATTGAATATTAATATTTAAGAAAATAATAGTACTAACATGCTCAAAATAATAGTAACATGAATAGTAATATACTCAACAAAAGCAACAACATAATAAAAAAATAGTAACATGAAAAATTCAATTTAACAAATTAACCCCCATGAAAAATACCACAAATTACAAAAAAGCAAAAAATTAACAAGGACCAGAGATTCTCATCTGTTACCCACAAAATGACATAATTCATAGAAAATTAAAAGATGAACATTGATGAAACAATGCCACTAGCTGGCCGGAGAGGGAGAGAGAGAGAGAGCTTTGAATTTGAATTTTAAATTTATGATGGAGATTTTATTGGCATAGTTTAATTGACATTGAATTAAGGGATAACTACATCCAAAATAGAAAATTAATTTAACCTCTTTTCAAGGAAATGTATTTTTGAGATAAAAAAAAAAAAAAGTAGACTTAAGTCATTTACATATAATTTTAAACTTGGACTTAACCTCTTATATGTTTATTTGCAGGACTTATTTCCAAACAAGTTCATCCAGGAGGACTCAATTTCAATTTTCACTAAAAAAAATCTTATCCTATCCTAACCTACTACCCAAAAACACCCTAAGAGTCTATAAATAGAATATCCTCAAGCCATTTTTAATTACATAAAAATAGACGGTAAGCATCCTCTTTCTCTTCCTGTATTATATTTCTGTACAATTCAAGTACAAAACACAGAGTTGTGTTGTTAGAGTTTTGAAGATTAAAGTGTGTTTCTTTAGAAACAGAAATTCATTATATATTGAAAAATAATTGTTTAGCAACTTTAAGCACCGAGATGAAACAAACCTGCTGTAATTACAAAGGGTTCAAATTATTTCTGAATTATTATTTTGATAATTGCTCTTATGCATCATTGTAAATGCATTTATGTTTTAATATATTGTTTTATTTATTATATGGCATATAACAGTATAATTATTAGATTTAGAATTTACTACAGTAATTTATATTTAATTCTGATTAAAAACTTTGGATAACAGCATTAAACCTGAAATCTAAATATTAATGAAAGAAGGAAAGCCATTAAAAGCGTAAATTGGAAAAAATGCAATAATTACTACTACCAGAAAGAAAAAAAATACAAGCTTATAATTACCGAAATCAACCAACAATCTTACGAAAGTGAAAACACCTCAGTCGTCAACTGAAGTGAAAACCTTCCAGAAGCTACAGTATAGAGAGAGAGAGAGAGAGAGAGAGATCGAGGGATCTTTGATCTCAAGTCATCATCATAATCATCGTCCCTAGATCAAAGTGCAAACAGTAAACTTTCTTTATCTTGCATTTACTCCTCTCTCATCTGCTTCTCATCCAGTAAACCCTCTTTTGAGCGTGGAAAAATTGAAAATTTTGGGGACCTGACACAGCTGAACAAAGGACTGAATCGAGGGAAAATTCAGAAACTGAGGTACAGATTGCATGTTCTATATACTGAAAAGAACATCTCCGGCAAGCCCATCTCTAGAAATTTTTTGTCACTTATGACTCGGCTATCATCTGGTAAGCCCTTTGACTTTGGTAGGCTTTTTTGTGTATTTTATGCTAATAATGTGTTATTTATTCCAATTTGTTTTCTTATTTTTCTTTATTTTATTATAATAATAAGAAAGTTTGATGGTTCTAGAGATTTTTGTAATTGGTATTTGATTATGGTTTTGAGCTATCTCGATTGGTTACTTGTGTGGATCTGTCCATGGGGTTGAACTCTGTAATGGGCGGACTGGAATTTCATTTTTAGTAATCATTTGAGTTTGAGCAATTATTAGTTCCCTTATGGTTTTGTTTTCAATATGCTTTGTACAGAGCACGAACCTGATTACTGAATCTGATAAATCAATGGACATATATCAATGTGTGTGTGTGGAGGATGGTGGATTGTCAAATTTACTCAATAGAATGTCTTTTTATCTCTTAATAGGTGTGTGAAGACTGGATTTTTGTCAGTGTTTTTAAATTGAGTGGTTTCTCTTTCGTTGTTCAATTAAAAGAAACATATTGGTGTAACACCTCTCAAGAAAACACACTCATTTTAAATGCATTAAGGGCTTCAGTGGAATCAGTTTCCTTATTTTATCTCTCCAATCCTAAACTTGTTCTGCAATTTGTCACCCATGAAATGGTAAAGATAGATAGATATAAATGTATTATATGCTAGTGTGTATGGCCGTGCATGTGTTATACCTGTAATCATAAACTCAATTGTATTATGCATACATTTAGTGTGATTGTGACTTTAGCTTTGGATCTCCATAGGTTGCATTTTCTTAACTACAGCGTAATCTTGAGGATAGAAAAGGGAAACAAATGAGGATGAGGAACAAATACAGGAAACCAACCACTTTACATTGCAATGCAGGGAGCAGATGCTCGCTTTCAGTAGTGATCTGGAGCCTGGTGGGATGCCTTCTTTTGCTCCATCTCTACTCCCTTGTTCGTCATAAAGATGTGCGAGATGGAGAGTTCCCAATGCGCACGAGTCACCATCCACTATTTCGTGAACTTGAAGAGGTGGAGGTGGAGGAAAATATACAGATACCCCCACCCAGAAAACGGTCCCCACGTGCTGCAAAACGGAGGCCTAAGCGGACAAACACCCTGATTGATGAATTTCTCGATGAGTCTTCTCAACTTAGACACTTATTCTTTCCTGACCAGAAAATTTCTGTAGATCCTATGAAGGATGCTGGGAACGATACCTTTTACTATTATCCTGGGAGAAATTGGCTGGATACAGATGGAAATCCTATTCAAGCTCATGGAGGTGGTATTCTGTTTGATGAGGGATCAAGGACCTACTATTGGTATGGAGAGTATAAAGATGGACCTACTTATCATGCTCACAAGAAAGGAGCAGCACGGGTAAATATTTTTGGCCTTCCTTCCTTCCTGCTATATATACATCATCCATATTAATGTATATGAGCATGTATTGATTATCATTCGTTAGCTGACGCCTGTTGTTTCTTTTGCTGTTGTATGTGCTTTCTCCATATTTCAGTCAACCTTGAGCATCAGTTACCAAATACTCTTTATTTATCATACCTTGCACCATATCAAGTGCAAAACACTTGATGTGTGTATCATTGATTAATGCAAAACTGCAATGTAATCTGGTTGCACTTTTTTAGTCTCCAGATGAAACACATATAAAGCAGTTTACTTGTATTTAGGTATCAGCTTCATGCAACTGTAGTAGGGTGTCAATAATAATATTTCAAAGGTTTATAGGTCTATTTTATTCTCAATAATATCATGTTAGTGTACCTAGAGGCATCTGAAGTTCATTTTTTTGTATCCATTGGTATGGAAGGCCTTCATTTCTTTCTATTGTATATTGAAGGTAATATGCAGTATGAAAGTCATCTTTTAGGCTGGCAGGATAGTGTGGATAGCCTTGTCCTAAAAAGTAGAGTTAGGCATCGTAGTAGGTGTTAAAACCTGTCCTACATCGTTATAGTAGTGCATCCTAAACTAGTTTATGAGTCTTATGAGCCACTATACTTGTATTGCCAATTGGTTTTGACTTGAATGCTTTTAACACGGTATTAGAGTTGGACTTTAGGAGGCTTTGGGAAAGATGCTTTGGTTCAATTCCATTGATTTGGTATTGGTTCCCTTATGTTTGTGCCATAAATGCACTTCCTTATGTCCCTGAATATATTTTTGATACTTCAGTCTATTTTTCCACGTGAAAGTGTAGACGTACGGGGAGTGTTAGAGCTTGTCCCACATGGGTATTAGTACTTCCCAAACTAATATAGCGTCTCTATATTGATTGTTAATTGGTTTTGAGTTGGATGACTAAACATTATGTACAGTAATAAGCACCCACTGCTTAAGTGTCTCAGGTTGCCCAAGTTAAAATTCTCTAATGCATATAAAATTGATGGAGAAGAGAAGAAGTGATGACTGTATTCTGCCGAATTTTGTGGCTTACTAGTGAGTCCTGTTTTTAGCAGCAAGGGCATCATAGACATATTAAAGAACATATAATTTTCAAGAATAATCCTTTACCCAATTGAAATAGTGTGAGCTGTTGCCAGTCTATGCGCCGTTGCTTGTGGTCAAATGTGCCATGGATCTTTTTTTGAGCCCATTTTTTCATGTTTAATTTTTGGGAGTTATTGTTTCCAATATGCAAGACACTTCTGCCTATGAATCATGGGCGCAAGACCTTGAACTTGTCGGGCATCACGTTCTTCCTTCCGCTAGTGTGCAGGCAATCTACTTGACATCATTGAGTTAGGAAGTTCTGTGCCATTCTACATGTACAATGAAATTATTATATAGGATTGAAGCCGGATAAGTTATTGTCATGTTTAAGCTGTGGCTCTGAGTAGGGGAACTCAATGTTGGTAATGCACAGGGTGTTGCAAGCAACAGATTTGGTATGGGTGATAACTGGCAGCTGAGGACTGATTAAATGTTGTAAGTTGTGTCATTCCAAGGTAGAGATACCAATGCCATGGTGATAATTATGGATAATTACATAGGGTTTCAGCATGGTGAAATGTATCTCTGATTATAAGTCTCCTAAAGGATACAAGCTGGATTATGCAGGATGATGGTTGGTCTTGGAACTCTGTACATTGCGAGGAGGGTGATAATAGCAGTCTGTCCATTATAGGAATATATCGATTTTGTTAAAAGGGAATGTGACGGGTGTTTACTACATCTGTGTTTGTCATTACACATAGAGAACTTGCAAGGTATTCTGAACATTTAGTAAAAGTCCTTGACTAACATGTACCTGGTTTAGCGTACAAAGTAGGTAAACTACCCTCTTTGAGCCCTATAATGGTGGAGATAGTGAACTTTAGCCCTTTTTCCTGCAATACTACAACGAAGATTCCCCAAATCGTAAGATTAATAAGAAGAGTTTTGAATTTCTGAGATTCTGCAAAATCTGACCCAGTATAAATGGTATCTGAGAGGGTCGCATAACATCTATACTTATCTCCTGAAATAGGAGATTGTTGAAAGACTTTGGACATCCTACGAACTTGCTCTCTAAAGCAAGTTTGTAGTCCATGTGGCCCAATACCCACTGATGCAACGCTCTTGGCAGGTTTGTGAAATGCCTGAGACAGACGAATGCATGCCATATGAGCTTGGCATCATAGCACATCATTTTTTATTTTTCCTTGAAGTTGCCATCTTGTATAATACACTGACATGTTGTAGAGCTGTTGACAGAGTGTCAAGTACTGATACTTTGCTCTATTTATATTTTACACCCTTCGCGAATTTTCCATTAACTGTAAATTCAACTTATCTGCTTCCATTATTAAACTACTATGTAATCTCTTCATTGCAGGTTGACATTATCGGTGTTGGTTGCTATTCTTCGAAGGATTTGTGGACATGGAAAAATGAGGGCATTGTACTGGCAGGAGAAGAATCAAACGAGACCCATGATTTACACAAATCAAATGTGCTGGAGAGGCCAAAAGTAATTTACAATGAGAAGACAGGAAAATACGTAATGTGGATGCATATTGATGATGCCAACTACACCAAAGCCTCGGTAGGTATCGCCATCAGCGATTACCCCACAGGTCCGTTCGATTATCTGTACAGCAAACGACCCCATGGATTTGATAGCAGGGACATGACAATCTTTAAAGATGATGATGGTGTTGCATATCTCATCTACTCCTCCGAGGACAATAGTGAGCTCCATATTGGACCTTTAACTGAAAATTACCTTGATGCATCACTTGTAATGAGAAGGATTTTGGTGGGACAACACCGGGAAGCCCCGGCTCTGTTCAAGCACCAGGGAACTTATTACATGATTACATCTGGCTGCACTGGGTGGGCCCCAAACGAGGCACTAGCCCATGCGGCGGAGTCAATTATGGGTCCATGGGAGACTCTGGGGAATCCATGCATTGGGGGTAACAAAGTTTTTAGACTAGCAACATTCTTTGCTCAGAGCACATTTGTGCTTCCTTTGCCTGGCCTGCCAGGTTCATTTATCTTCATGGCAGATCGGTGGAATCCATCTGATTTGAGGGACTCACGGTATGTGTGGTTGCCTTTAACAGTGGGTGGAGCAGCCGACCAGCCTCTTGAGTACAATTTTGGGTTTCCATTATGGTCAAGGGTGTCTATTTATTGGCATAAAAGATGGAGGCTTCCACACAGGTTGAGTGTGAAGAAATGATAAGAGCCTTTTGTACTTCTCCTATGGCTTCTTGTAGAATGTATATGAGATCTTTTTTTCATTCTTTCACCAGCCTCTGCCGCTGTTTGTTTGTAATTATAATATCATTCTGATAATTAAAACGCAATAACTAGGTGTAGAATGTTCACTCTCAGACTCTGCGTCTGCGAATTCACTGGCCTCTTTTGCTTTGGTCATGTTGATATAGTACCTTAGCGGGGAGATAAATCCATGAATAGGATGTGGGGGTTGTAGGGGGTGGTTTGGGTTGGGGAGAGGGGGGTTTTTAGTTGGCGAATAGGTTATAGCATTCCTTCTTGTTACAAGTTGCAAGAAGATGCCACTAAATAGTGAGCATAGATAGTATCTTTGATCTCCTTTAGCTCGCACCCTACTAAAGCTCATGCAGTGGTGTATATGGGCCTTATTTACGAGTAAATATTGGGTGTAACGGTAACACCACGTGGTATCATCAGGATTGATAGTCGAATGAGCTCGAACGAGTTTGAGCTGAGTCTAAGAAATTTGTTTTTCTTAGCCGAACTTAAAAAATTGTTCAAATTCGACTCGTTTTTTAAACGAGTCGAGCTTGTTGGGTTTGTTTTCCAAACAAGTATAAAAAATTGTTCAAGTAACTCGGTTTTTGAGTCAGTGAAAAAACAAGTCCTACCTGAGCTTAGTTCGAATAGCTCGGTTTGATTAAAAGTCATAAGAGTCAGTAACCAATTATAAAATGCCAAATAAGATTGGTGAATTTCACTATTCTAACATGACGGAGATAGTTATTGGTAGTTAATAAAAGAGCAATGTTATTAAGATCTAATTTATTGACTTAATTTGTTAACTTAATTCACTATAACCTTTGGATTAGTTGTAAGGTCTATCAAACATTAAAACTTAGTGTTGATTTAATTGTTTCAATGAAATCACGTCATTAGGTCAACAAATTAAGTCAAATTGTTAGGTCTAAATAGCATTAGTCATAAAATAATAGATTTCATTAAATTCACTTGGTATTCTATCACTTATGAATATGAATGAATCATTTCAATTGATAAGAAAACTTTGGCATAAACATTTAGCAAGAGACCCACAACTCTTACTAAATCACTTTCGGTACCATACTTTTACGACGTTGTAGTCTTATCCTTACCTTTAGCCGAAGATAAATGATACAGGAGCCTTACATGGAATTCTAGGTAATTTTTTATTATGGAGTCTAATAATTAATTGAAGGCGTTGACATTAATTAGCTGTTACAGTTTTCTTCTCCTAAGAAGTTTTATATTCTAATTTTCTTTTGAATGTAAAATTATATATGACTAGGTCAACAAACCAAGAGGAAAAGAAAAGGAATAATTTTGCAGAATAAAGGCAGAAAGAAAGAAAGTAAGGGAAAAAAAAAGGGAAACAGAAAGGTCAATAATTTCTGTATAAAGAAACTGGAGAATATTTTTGGCCCATACTTTAATAGACTCAGTTTTTTTTTTGGGGGTTTAATGATCAAGAGTTTGTCAAAAATGTTCGGATCAGTTTATAAACATTTTGATTAGTTCCCTCGTTAATTCAATTAAAAACAGACCACACATGTTAGAACTAGAATAATTTGGCCGTCCATGTTGATCGTAAGAATTTACCAAGATTGAAACCCTACTTTTTATTTTTCAGAAATGAAAAAATTCTATGGTCTATTCTTAGCGAATAGAAACGCGTTTATGTCGCTTAGACTCTTAACTTTGAGTAGAATTAAGGGTAAAGTCCGGAGTATAAATCGGTCTCTCAATTTATACATTATTTAAATCAAGACTTATATTTTACCAAGAACTCAAGATCCACACCAAAGACCGACATACGGTTCATTTAACCAACTGATTTTTTGTTCTACTAAATAGCCACGCTACTGCGTCATGAAATTTCGAAACCCTGATCTCCACTGAAAAGTCAAAAGCTCTGGACAACTGAGCTATTTCAATTGGTTGAAACCCTACTCTTTCGGTAGAGAAGAAATGGAACAAATTTAAAGCAAAGGTGATGGTCCGGCTTGCCCATCAACAATTGTTGCCAACTTGCACTTGGTCCCACGAATTTTTAAATGTTCAAAGGAAACTTAAAAGCTTAAATAAAGTATATATGGGACCAACCCAGATGAAAAAACCCACGCAATGAAGAAATATTATAACAGAGAGAGAGAGAGAGAGGAGCCATGGTGGAAAGTGACTGGGAATGTTAACGTGGAGGGGGGCAAGTCTTATCAAAAGATTAAGATGTGAAACTCTAAAAAGCAGTTCCCACTACAGTTTTCTATCTTTATCTTCGTGGGCCAAAAGTGGAAGCTTTCTTAACCTTACAGCACCACCACCACCACCACCACCATCAAAGAGCTTTTGGCTTGAAAGAGTAGGTGGTGGTGGGCCATGAAATGTCTAAAACTCTCTCTCGCTCTCTTCTTTTTCTTTCTCTGTGGTGTGAAAATATGAAAGAGAATAAAAGAAAATATGAATAAGAAAATATGGAAGAGACCATGTCTACAGAGCGTGACCCTAAATACTACTAATGCCTAAACACCTTTTATTCGGTTCCCAAACGCAACCTTACTCGGTGGCCGTCCTAAGATTCTCTGCTCCCAACTAGATAACGACCCTTTTGAAGTTTAATGAAATCAAACCTTTTTTTTTTGGGGTAGAGCTGATATCATTTTAACACACCTAATACCAACTCCATCTTCTTTTTATACACAATAATTAGATGTTTAACTCAGCTAACAAGAAGGAAAAAATAAATAAAGAATTAAATAAGTAATTAATCATACGTTTAAACTAACAAATGCATATAGTTGGACAACGTTAGATGTTCTCCAAAGTTAACTCTAATAAAGACAACCTAATCTTTCTTATTCAGGTGAATAAAGTTGTGCAATAATGTTGCATTATCAGAAATGGACAGTTTGATGAATCATTTTGAGGTGACCAACACATACTTGAGGCTTTTATAGGAAACCTAAATTGTAATAGTACTGAATATGGACCTAATATACCAAAAGAATTTGATCACAATATATAATTGTCATTGATTTTTAGCATATATTTCACCTTACCAAAAAAAAAGATCGATTGTATATTTTTGTACCACCCTCATGGTGTAGATTCTATGTCAATTATTTTGCAAACTTTTTACTTACTATTTTAGATCCTCTTACTTTGATAATATGTATAACACCTACTACTCTAAAGATTTAAAGTGTTAGAGAATACTGTTCATTAAAACACACACACATATATATATATATACTAGTTATTGCTTGTTCCTTGAATAAAAAATAGTAAACACTAAACATATTTATATTCATGTACAAAATCAAATCATAAATATAGAGGATAGATAAATAAATTTAGGCATTGGTTGCAGTGGAGGTGAGAGGTGGTGGACGACAGTGGTGGTGGTAGGAGACGGTGATGGTTGTGGTGAGTGACAATGACTGTGATGGCGGTGGTGATAGAGATAGTGGTGGGGCAGTTCTAAACATTTTTGTTAAAGTACTTATGAGAAATAATTCTTAGAAGTACTTTTAAAAAATCACTCTAAACACACCATTAGGGACCTATTCTTCCTATTAAATTTAGGGTGTTAGTATTAGCCGTTAAATTAACTTTAAAATAAAATTTAAAGTAATCTAAACCGCGAAAAACAAAAGTCATTTTATTTATCTTTTGAGATTTGAATTATAAGCTACTTTATTTTATATATATATATATACGATACCGATAATAATTCATATATCTATAGTAAAATTTAGTCAGTAAATTATGTCCGTGAAATAATTTTAACTTGTAATAATGAAGAAAAATGACTTACCAACATTCAAACCAAAATTAATTTTTTCATACTAACAAAAATAAAAATCACAAATGAAGACAAGAGTAATGAGAATATCTTACTTCATTTCTATTCAATTAAGAGTAATGTTATTGGGACATAATTTATGAATATAATTTGAGGGCACAATGAGTTGTCATTAATGATATGATAATGAATTCATTAATACTACAATAAGACTCATCATTAAATATATTTTATTAATGACAACTCATTATATTTTCATATTATTTCCTTCAATTATGCCTCAACACTGTTGATATTCAATAAAAGACATGAACACCCTTTTACTCTTTCCATGTCCCTTCTTCATTCCAACAATTCAAGCCCATGAATTCCTCCCCTCACACGTGCCCAAAAACAACACACGTGCGACTAACCTCCATTCGTTGTGCAAGTCAAACTTATGAAGGCTTCCATGCACTAGCCCAAACCACCGGCTGATCCCGCCAGGACAAGAATATTCCGGCAGAATCAGAGCACTGTGCCATCGACCAACCCTCCTTATATCTCCTCAGAAGAGAGCGTACATCATCACTCACTTCTTCACTAAACAAAACAGGGCTAAACCCACTCGCATGCAGATGATGTGACCAGCGCGTGGCGGTCTGTCGTCGTTCGACTGACTCCGACGGAGGGCAAGCGACCAGGTCAACGATTGCACGTCCGGCGGCGCGTTCGAGCATCAATCTCTCATTACTTGTTCTTGGAAAGCTCTCGTCCATTGACTCGAAGTAAACCCTAAACCATCTCAAACACTCTTGGAAGCCTTTAACAAAGTCAAACCCATCAGTACCCACATCAAGATCAGCTTCTTCTTCAACAACAGTTAAAACCCTAGGCTGCAATCTCAGAAACATCGATATTAGAAAGTTCCGGCGGTCACCGATCGTTGAAACGGAATGTAAGGCGCCGACACAGTTGATTGCAAGTGCTTCATCATCTTTGATATCCAAATCAGCCAAATTCAATTCTGATAAATCACCTGTATGGTGTACAACGGTGAATTTAAAGGGAACACCCATGAGTCTAGCAAACTTTTCCATTCTGTTTCCAATCTCTCTCATGACCCTTTGCGCCGAAACTTCTCCTCCGGTGGCGCCACCGGCTTTGCTGGCTACCACGGTGGTGAGCCGTAGGTGCGGCGTTTCATCTGTGCGAGTCGCCAGGGCTTCAAGCAAAGTAGGCCACTGTGTGCAGTACGTGTTGCTAATATCAACTATATGTAACTTGCTCTCACCTTCAAAAGCTTCCATGATTGCACCGTTACAAGCAACATGGCCGAATGTAGTCCAAGGGCTCACCTCTTGGAATTTCAGCACCATTTTTCTGGTAGACTCGAAAGAGCAATTCTTCTCCGAAGCTAACGTCAAAGTCCGGTAACACCGTTCGCCGGAGTCTGTCATGCGGCTAAACAAGGCTTGGAGGAAGTAGGAGGCGAGCTTTTGATCGGTGTCACCATAAGGTGAACTGAGCTCATTGAGCATCCACGTCAACTGTTGAAGACGAGCACTGTTCTTATCAGCAATCGCTCGAGCTGCCTCGATCAGAATATCCGAAGCCCACTTGCCGGAAAACGAAGAGGCGAATTCAAGGTTTATGTCTCGAGCGGGAGAGAAAGAGAAATCAGCAGATTCAAAGGCTTGGTGTGTTGGAGTGCTTGTGTTTGTTGTGGTTTGTGTAGGGGTGGGGGTGTTAGAAGTTTGGTGTTGCTGTGGGTAAGGATAGTATTGTCTGGAAGAAGAAGAAGAGAAATCATCTTCATCCATGAAAAAGTTGAAGCATTCTTCTTCTTCTTGGTGATGGTTTTGTTTAGAAGATCTGGAGCTGCTTGAAGTTCTGCTAGAATTGAAGGACTGATCGGATTGGTGGCTGACTAGTCTAAACAACGTATCCATTTAGCCAAAGACCCACATCAAAAAATAAACCTTGTATGAGTCTGTTAGCTCTTTGGACGCAGGAGGATGGGTTGGTTGTGTTTTTAACAGTGAATTGGGATAGAGAATGATTAAAAGAGGATCTTGGTGTTGGATTTTAGCTCGGTTTTTTCTCAAACAAAAACATAATTGGAGAGAGAGAGAGAGAATCAGAGGAATCTGAGTAGAACTTTTGCTTTTCTTTTGGGGAATCGATAAGAGAAATTGGAGTGGTGGGGTGGTTTCTTTACAAGCTATTCTTTTTGGTGTCTTTTTAAAGTTTAGGTGGGGATTGAAAGTTGTAGGGTTTTCTGTAAAAGCATGGAAGGTAACATGGAGTAGATGGGTTTTAGATATTAGAATTAAGGAAAGAGGAGCAATGATACATAGATTTAAAAGGTAGATTTAATAATTATAATAATTAATTTTAGTGTGAATTTTAATATTTATTGAAACTCACTACCTATTCAATAATTAAGATTATCAAGTATAATTTTTAAGTTCACTTAACATTACTAAAAAAAGAGTGATAAAAAGATAACAATGTCGAGATAGACATATGGGTTAGTGGATTAGCTTTTCATTTCAGAGAGAGAGAGAGAAAGTGAGAGATTATATAATTTTTGAGTGGCAGCAGGCGTGATGGGTTTTTTTTGGTGGGAGAGGAGAGAGAAAGACACGTCAGAAAAGCTGCCGGCGTGCATCATCATCAAACCCACCAGCAACCCCAACAAAACAATTCACTCGATCGCACTCCTTGCCTCCTAATCCCTCTTCAAAATCTGCCAAAAATTCCCTACTTTTTCTTTTTTTAACACTACTACAAAAACCCATACATGTATATTGTGTATTCAGAATAAAGTTTGTGCGTCTCTTCTCCAAAATCTAGGCCACGCTCTTCACTTTTCTCTCACCCCCATATCTCATGGTTGATATATAAGCACACTTGAGACTACCGTGATAGGCCATTTCTCTAGATGGCCCAGTTTCTTGCACTCCATCTCTCTCTCTCTCTCTCTCTCAGAAAACTCCTACCACTTACTTAATAGGGGTATTTTCTTGGCCAAGTTAGATCGATGCGATTGAGCCCCTAGTCAAAATTAGTTTCCCATGTCTCATACTGGATGTTTTCAATGTCATTCTAGTTTGACAGAGCTGACAATTTTTTTTTTTAGGTAGTTTAAGTATAAACAGGAATGAGTTGTAAATTTTGATGCCATGAGTTTGAATTTTAATAATTTTTTAGAATTAGGTCATGAGAAATTTATCTCTCATGAATATCTTAATCTCGATGTGAATAGTCTATTTTTGATTGAACAGAAAAAAAAATTAATTAAAATACGCATAAATTAATTGACGCACCACCTTTTACCATTGAGTAATAAAAAAAAAAAGCTGAGAAAAGACAGAGCTCCTTGGAATGGACATAAATGATGGATCATTTTATGTTTCCTAGTCTGCCTATTATAGCTTCCAAGTATGATTGATAATGGATCATCTCTTATTGGATCTGTGTAAAGAGCTACTCAATTCATTCTTGGGTTATTCAAAGGCGAGTCGGGTCATGTCCGGAAGGATTGATTTCCTTGGTTTGGTTCTATACATCATTGGATTAATTCATTAATGATTTGACAAAACTGCAATGTAATCTGGTTGCACAAAAAATAAAAAAAAAGTAGTCTCCCATTGGGTTGGGAAGGACAAGCTGACCGTTGATTTGGTCGCTCAGTTCCCAAGCATTATGTATCTTAATTAAAGAATATTCCTTGCAAGAGTTTCATCCAAGGACAACCCTGGCAAGAACACAGTTAATAAATTATGAATCATAAGAAAATACTTTAATTCCTGCTTAAAGTAGGGGATGTTTTATAGATTTCTTGGTCCCACACATTAGTACTTAAATCAGAATATAGATGGAACATCACTATCTCAACCATCATTGAAAATTTGTGTTGGAAACGAGTCTAGTGGGTTTAGTTTGACAATAACTAAAAACTATATGTATTTCTTTATTTTTAAAAGAAAACTGAAGGAGATTGTAAGGTAATCTAAATGTACAGGCGTCGTATATATACTTGTTTTTTTTATAAGAATTTTCTTTCTGTGGTGGTGGGAAAAAATAGAAGACAACCAGTCTTGGACCATTTTACCTAGACATTACCATCAGAGGTCCTGAGTAACCAATGACAAGAAAGGTACAGACAAGAATTGGGGTGTTAGTCTGGACGGGTTTTTCGAGTTCGACTTAAATAAAATTTTATTCGAATTCGACTTGTGTTGTAAATGAGTTGAGTTTGAATTATTTTTTAAGTTTATTTAAAATAATGAACCTAAAAACTCGGTTTAAGTTCTCAAAGTTTGACTCGTTTATATGTAAAATAATTGAACTACTCGGGCTAAGACTAGAGCTCGGGCTCAAAATTATTTAAAAAACTAAACTCGTTAGGCTCGGATTTAAACCCACAAAACTCGACTCGATTAACACCTCTAGACAAAAGAAAATGCGACAATAAAATTGGAGAAACAACTCTAAAGGTAGTTTAAGTGGTAAAAAAGACAAGTTGTAAATACAAACGTCTTGAGTTCAAATTTTGGTAATCTCTTAGGACTAAACACTGAGAAATTTATTATTCATGAATATCCTAGTCTCAACATAAATGATTTGTTTTTGACTGGTTTGGCAAGGGTTTAGTCGAAGTGTGCGTAAATTAATTCGAACACTTTTGACCGTTAAACTAAAAAAAAAAATAATAGAAATACAAAATTTTCTTATAAAATTTTATATACCAAATGAATGAAAAGATGTGCGAAAATCGTGATCGGAGGATGTTTAGTGGATTTAATTAGATATACTAATTTAATAATATCTGGTATACAAAATTTGATTAAAAAAAAAATTACACTCAAACTCTCTACGATTTGTCACTTAATCATTCAAAACTCTTAATATTTGAAATATTACACACAAACTTCTTAAAATTTGGACGCACATAACACTTAGACCCCTACTGTCTATGTCCGTTAGTATATATTTAAGTAAATTATACTTAGACCCTCTAAAATTTATAAGCGTATAATACTTAGGTTCCTTAAGTTTAAAATATTATAAATAGATCAAAAATATTTCAATCAAATATAGAATATTAAATATTATAAATTTTACAACCAAAATTCATGTGTTTACTGTATCATTTATTAAAATAAAATCAAAAAAATAATTTTTTTAAAAAAAATCGTAATTAGTATATAATTATACTATTAATTTAAATAAAATTAAAAAATTAAGTAAAGGGTCTAAGTCATTCATAATAGAACATGAACTTTTCAACCAAAATTCAAGTTTATTATGTAATTTATTGAAATAAAATTAAAATTAAAAATCTAATTTTTTTAAAAAATCATAATTAATATACAATTATACTATATATTGAAATAAAACTAAAAAATCAAAAAATTGGTCAAATTGTATTGGACATACAATATCTTTTAACTTTAATTAAGGTAATTTGGTTGTTTAAATGATGAAATTAAATTCTAATAGATATTATAATTATATACTAATTATAATTTTTTTTTTAAAAAATTGAAATTTTATTTTAATTTTATTTCAATAAATATCATAATAGAATATAAACTTTTGTTGTAAAATTTAAAATATTTAATATTCAATCTTTGATTGAAATATTTTTGATTTAAGTATAATATTTTAAATTTAAAAGATCTAAGTATTATGTGCTGATAAATTTCAAGGGGTTTGAGTATAATTTATTAACAGATATTGACAACAAGGGTCTAATGCTCTGTTTGATAGGAAGGAAGAAAAGTAGGAGAGACACATTTTCTATCCTTGAAGGATGAAAAGTAGGAATAATACACTTTTTTTTTCTTTTTTTTTGGTTGGATTAATGAAAATAAAAATGACCAATTTTTTTTTGTTTAATATTAGGATTGACAATCGAATCTTGTTGTATCAGATTTGTGTTGAGTCATAAAATTATAAGTTTTTTATATTTTTTGTTCGCTTATCAGACCATTTTCAAGTTCGTGTCGAGTTATAATCGAGTTCATATCATAAATTCGTATCGAATTCGAATCGTGTCATCGTGATGAGTCTAAAATTTTCACCCTTAGTTAAGATAAAAAAATATTTTTCAAATTTTAATTTTAATTTTTTTATTATATATATATATATATATATATATATATATATATTTATCATTTTATTTTTATATAAAATTAATGTATTCATAATATATAGATAAATAAGATACACCTCAACACAAATAATTAATTTTTTATCAATTTTTTTATTCTTCTTATTTTCTTTTTTTACCAAACATGATGTTTTATTTATCCCTCCAACTTTTTATCCTTCTAACTTTTTATCATTCTATTTTCATCATACCAAATAGAGCATAAGTGTTTCATGTGTACAAAGCTTAGAGGGTTTGTATGTAACATTTTAAATATCAAAAAATTTAAATGATTAAGTGACAAACTTCAGCGTAATTCTCCCTAGAGTTCAATAAATATCACAATTCTGTTGTATCACTGAATCGTACGAAACCCCCAAGATTGGCCTGAGGGTAATTTGGTCACTCGATAAGCATCTCAACAGATGTAGATAGGGGTTTAAGTTTAAATATCCTGGGGTGACAATTCTTTAATTTACTCATTTTGTGGAGAGGTGACTTTATAACAGATGAAGTCTATGTCTTATGTATGATGGCCCTATCATGTTTGACGACATCATCAAAATGCACCGACTTGATGTATGGTGTCGTTTGGTTTGACACGGCGCTACTTAACGAAAATATCGAAATATAATTTAAGAATATAATAATTACGATTATTACATTATCATAGATTTTAATCGTAAATAATCACTAGAGTTGGTGGTCTAGTGATAAAATATGCCCGTCTTAGAATTGTTTTTAACTCCCATAAGATTAACAAGCAGGGTTCGATTTATAAAATTCTCA